GAGCTAAATCCTCAGCCCCAGCTATTACTTCTGTAAACAGCCTCTTGACATTCTTTATGTTGTCCCCTTCTTTTTCATTTATCCCTAGCAATCTTATGTTGTTTTTCTTTGCATCATCTTGCAGGTGTTGAATTGTTATTTCCTGATTCCTTGTTATTTTTAAAGATCTTTCCTTTCCTGTTCACTAGCTGAAATCTTGTCTTTGAGGTCTGAAAGTCTATCTTCACTTTCATTGAGGTGAGGTGGTTTTGACAACTTTCAAGAGAATTTTTTATTTCCTGTGTATCTCTTTGACTCTGTTTCATGCATTGTTTCCTACATTCTTCATTCAGAATTTCCGTATTTTTGCAGTCTTCCTCTAATTTTTAACTGTGTCTCCTTTAGATGTGGTCAGCATTTCCTTCATTACATTTATCATTTCTTCTTTCACCCAGGAGATTATTTCTGATCTGGGTTCTTTTATAGTTTCCCAGAGTTGTTTCTTTACTTCAGCTGCTATCATATCAGGGGTTTCAGGTGTGTGGCTTACATTCCTTCTGTGTCCTCGTCCCCTAGGCTTGCTTGGGACGGGCTGGAGGTTTGAGGTCAAATTTGCTCTTTCGTTTGTCATTTTCCTGTATTCCCTTAGGGAAGCCAAGGCAAGGTCTCAGTTGTGTCTTGGGTTGAGAATATCTATCCTACTGCAGGGAGTTTCCCCAGTTGAGTGGAGTCCTTGGATAGACCTTGCCAGATGGCTACAGCCACTTGTGGTCATCGGGCGGGGACTTACCAGTCTCGGAGGGAGGTGCCAAAGCTTCTGTGGGCTGAAAATCACTGCACAAACTTTTGGCTCACCAAGCAGAACACAGGCATCTGTGGGCCACTCGGGAGTTGCTTAGCGGGGCCCCTAAGTGTGAGCCCTTGAACTCATTTCAAGAAAATGAGTTGCATTTGAAATTATTTTAAGTTCCATTTATAGTTGGGTATTGGTGGTATACACCTGTAATCTCAGTAATCTGGGAGACTGAGGCAGAGGGGTCACAAGGTGAAGCCCCACCCGGGCAAACTAGCAAGACTCTGTGTCAAAATAAAAAATAAATAATAAATAAAAAGGTCTAGAGATGTAGCTCTGTGCAAAGGCTGTAGTTTCAGTTCTCAGTGTAATAGCATCAGAAAGGATAAAACATGTATAGATAAATGTAACAAAAGAAGTACAAAACCTGTGCATGAAAACTACATAACATCCCTGAAGTAAATTAAAGAATGTCTGTATTCTTTGAGTGGCAGACAATATTGTTAAGATGGCAATATTCGCCGGGGATTTAGCTCAGTGGCACAATCACCTGCTGGGCAAACGTGAGGTTGTGAGTTTGATCCCTGGTACCAAAAAACAAATTAAAAAAAGATGGCAATATTTTTACAGAGTGACCCACAGACTCGGTAGAGATTCTTATCAAAATTCTTTTTTTTTTTTTTTTTCTGGTACCGGAGATCGAACTCATGACCTCGAGCTTGCCAGGCAGGCGCTCATGCTGCTGAGCTAAATCCCCAGCTCTTATCAAAATTCTGACCACCTTTTATGCAGAGATTGATATACAGAACCTAAAATTCATGTGGAAATACCAGGCAGCCATAGTAGCCCAAACAACCCTGAAAACAGAACAGACGTAGAAGACTCACGTTTCTCATTTTCCAAATAGACTACAGAGCCACGTTAACCAAGAGCCCGCGGTACACCATTACATAGAGATGGATACAGAGATAAATAGGAGATGATTCAACATCCAAAAATGAATGCTTAAATTTATCAGCAGTTGATTTCAACAAAGATATCAGGACAACTCAACAGTGGGAAAAGAGTCTTTTAAAAAAAATAGTGGTAGGGAAACTGTGGTATCCACATGCAAAAAAGTGAAGTTGGATCCCTTCCTCAGATTATCTCAGCGTGACCAAGGACTTAAGTGGAAGAGTTAAAACCATAAAACTTGTAAAAGAGAGAAGTGAATCTTTATGTTCTTGAATTAGGCAATAGCTTCTAGATATGGCACTTGACTAACCAGCTAGCAGCAGCAACCACGGAAAGATAAATTAGGCTTCGTCAAAGTTAAAAATCTGTGCTTCAGAGGACTGTCAGAGTGAACAGACAGGGGCTGTGGATTTAGCGCGCGGCACAAGTTCCTGCCTGACAAGTGTGGGGTTGTGAGTTTGATCCCTGGTACCAAAAAAAAAAAAAAGAAAGAAAGAAAGAAAGAAAAGAAAGTGAAAAGATAACTCACAAAGCCGGAGGAAATCTTTTGAAATCATATATCTGATAAGCATCTGGTGTCCCGCACATATAACTTACAGCTCAACAATAAGAAAACCTGTCTGGGAACAGTGACAGACACCTGTAATCCAAGTTACTGAGGGGGTTGAGGCTGGAAGATTGCAGATTCATAGCCAGCGGCATGACTTAGCAAGACCCTGTCTCAAAAAGTGGAGGGGCTGGGAATGTGGCTCAGTACAAAGCTCCTGGGTTCAGACTCCAGTGCTACAAAATATAAAATAAATGTAAATATAAAATGAAAATAAAACCAGGCATAATAATGAATGCCTACAGGAGACCAGCCTGGGCAACTCAGTGCGATCTTGTCTCAAAATTTAAAAAAAAAAAAAAGGAAAAGGGCCTGAGATTTAGGATTTAGCTCATCAGCATAAGAACCTGCCTTGCAAGCTCACAGTCGTGAGTTCGATCCCTGGTGAAAAAAAAAAAAAAAAAAAATTAAAAGGCTGGTAATGTAGTTCAGTTCAAAGGCCCTGCAAATAAATGAATGGAGGGACAGACAGATGGTCAGATGGACAGACAAAAAGGGCTGGAAGGTAATTCAGTAGGAGAGAGCTTGCTTCTCCTATGTGAGGCCCTGGGCTCAATCCCCAGTACTACCCAAAGAAAGGAAGGGAAAGGAAAGGAAGACAGGCAGCCTAATTTGAAAATGGACAAAAAATATAAATAGACATTTCTCCCCTCAAAAGTTACGCAGTTGGCTTATGAGCACAAGGCCATTCAAGATCATTAGTCATCAAGGAAATGCAACTCAAAATCACAGGAAGACAGAATCTTACAACCACTAAGATGGCTAAAAAAATTTTTTCAAAAGTCATTGAATAGCAAATGCCGGCAAGAAGGAGCCTCTGTACCCGGCTGGCGGGGCTATAAAATAGCGCCACCGCTCTGGACAGCCATGTAACAGTCCGTCTACAAATTCAGCACAGGCTCAGCATGACTCAGCACTCTGAGTACACACCCTGGAAAACTGGAGACGTGTTGCACAAAAACTACATTCCTGTTCAGAGCATCATGGTTCATAATAACCAAAGAGTAAAAATCCAAATGTCTGAGCTGGGTGTGGTGGCAAACCTTGTAATCCCAGCACTCAGAGGCTGAGGCAGGAAGATTGTTGCCTTTATTTTAAAGAGAATAAAATCAAGCAGAATAAAGCCAATCAAAACAAAACAGTGAAGGTAACTGTGACAGGTCTTCAAAACAAGGTAAAGGGAGATCCACAATGACTACCATAATGTGTCTTGTTGTCTTTGAAACAGCTGCCAGGGCCATCACATATAATAAAACCTTTCAGCAGAGAGCTGCAGTGAGTGGGAAAGTCAAGGCGGCACACAAGGGCTCTGGGGCAGAAGGAGAGCTGAAGGCTGGTGAGGGCTGCAGTGAAGGACAGAGTGTGGGGAGGTCGGCAGGGCAGATGCTGCACACAGCCCTGAAGCTAGGCTTCTATTCCTGGGCACTACAGTTTGGATCTAGAATATTCTAGAATGTTCTCCAAAGGCCCACCTGTTGAAGGCAATAGAGATTGGGAGGAGAAAGCTGGGTCACTAGGAGCTGCCATGGAAGGGGATAGGACCCCAATCCCTTCCCACCTCTCTTTCTGCTTCCCAACCACCCCCAAGGTGACCAGGTCTCTCCATCACCCTGGAAGGGCCTGGCAGAGAAGAGGTGCTCACTCCCGAGGGGCTGGAAACCAGGTGGGGTCCCCCAGGTTACACCCATCATCCACTCCCCGTCAACAAACCCTGTTTTCAGCACCACCTAATAGTCATCAAATTAAGATCTCATCAGTGGATTAACCCATGAATAAAGTTAGAGCCTTCAGAATTCAATCACTGCTCAAAGTCCATCAGCCACCGAGCATTCATCATGCTGGCCATTTGAAGGACTGGTTGTACCAACGCGTAATGGGCACGGGAAACACGTCAGGAAACAGGCTGAGAGGGTCCGCTCCAGGTCACATAGAGAAAGCTGAACGCACTGGTGCATGGTTTTATCCCTTTTTCTTTGGTTTAAATGAAGCTTATATGCCACTGGGGGAGGGGTATTGTTGCTCTGTATTTAGTTTTCATTTTTGGTGGTCCTGGGGATTAAACCATCACGTTAAACTACATCCCCAGCCCTTTTTTATTTTGAGAGTCTCGCTAAGTCTCTAAATTGCTCAGGCTGAGCTTAAATTTATGAACTTCAACAACTGAAGCACCACACTTCAAGGTTTTGAGCTTTTTAGTAAACAAGTATTAAAAAGGTGCAAACAGAAGGACAATGAAACACATCCCAAGGCGAGAACAGTGAGCGGGTTCAAAAACAAATGATTAAGTTCTTTAATGCACGTTTTTAGCACCTGTGTTGTAAGAAAAAGAAAAACAAACCAAAAACACCTTCTGATGGTACATCTAGCTTTAATGGGATTGATTTATATTCTGAGTGCAAATATAAGGACAATGAGACAGGCCACGATTTTGCAAGCCCCTTAAGTTTATTCACGCATTCAAGGGTCATAGAATCCCTCCCACCGCAGGGTGTCGCAAGCCGTCAAGGCGTGATCGCTGCAGGGCCAGCACAGCTCGTGAGAACCTCACTTGCCACCGGCTGGTCGGCTCTTAGACTTCGTCTCTTCCGGCCCGACTTCGTAGGAAGCGGTACCCCGCCCTCCCGGCGTCCCCCGGGCCAGCTCTGGAAGCGTGAAAAAACACACGCCTCCCGGGCACCTGTAAGCCTCTGACGGGGGCACGCACGCTGACGCACGCGCACGCACACGCACGGCCCGGCTGGCGCGCGCAGCCTCACTGGACCGGTGCCTGGCGCTGCGCAGGGCGATGGGCGGAGCCAAGGAGGAGGCGGGGCGGCGGCGCTGGCGGCCGAGCGGGGAACCTCCGAGGGTCCTGCCCTGCGGGCGGCGGCGACATGGAAGCCGAGCCGGGGCGCGAGTTCGTGCTTCCGAGCCGAGTGCAGGACGAGGGCGCGGCGGCCCTGACCGAGTTCGCGGCGATGCACGGCCCGGCGCTGCGCTCGTCGGGAGTCCCCGAGCGGTACTGGGGCAGCCTTCTGCACAAGCTGGAGCACGAGGTGCGGGGACCCGGGGTGCGGGCCGTGGGGGCACGCTCTGCGGGAAGGCGCGGCAGAAGGGATGGCCGGGGTGAGCTGGAGACGCGACGAGCGGGCGGCTCGGACCCTGCTTCCTCGGCAGCTCAGCAGCAGGCTGGAGTTTGGGGCGAAAGAGTGACAGCAAGAGCTCTATCGCAGCGTCTCGATCCTCCAGGGTCCGGGTTGGGGACTGAAAGTGAAATGAATGAACTTCTGCTCGTGTCCGGGGCCCACTACAGTTAAGAAAGTAAAATGCGTTAACCCCATCTACAGATGAGAAAACTGAGGCGTCAGAAGGGGCAGGAGCTCGCCCGACGTCTCCCAGGTCCAATCCCAGACACTTTCAACCACAGACTGCCTAGGACAAACAGGAGCCCTTGATGTGTCGCTTGGACTAGTTGGTTCTTAGATCTTTCTTCATCGGATTTGAGCAGCAGGTCACCTTCATTATGCAAATTAAGGAGACCTGAGGCCCTGGGAGATGGAGAGGAAGCAAAAAGAAAATGAAAAGCGTTTAGAGACCTGGAGAGCACTCTCTCCCTGGAGTACAGATCTGCTCACCTGCCTGCTCTAACCTGGCCCTGCACAGGGTCCCCTTTCGTCCTGACTCAGGGACCGGGCCTGGCTTGTCCAGCTCTGGAGTCAGAGCAGCGTCAGGCCCTGCGAGTGAGGCAAGGTGGTGCCGGGGGCCAGGTGGAGCCCCAGAGCCTAGAGGAGGCGTCCGCCAGGAACTAGGCAGCCTCCAGGGCCCAGCCGCTGGCCACGCCCCACCCAGCATCCCCGAACCAGCTTCCCTTTGGGAGTTCCTGTTTGGACCAGATAACTTGGTGCACAAACACAGAACAGATGAGCACTTACTGATAGTACACGAGCTGCACTTTGAATTGTGTTTTTTTTCTTCAGAGAGTGATCAGTAGTGGGAACCTTCTGAAATGCCGGGGGAGATAGATGTGTTGTTGTGGGGTTTTTTTTTTGTTGTTGTTGTTGTTTTTTTGCAATCCTGGGATTGAGCCCAGGGTCTTTGCACTGAGTTACATCCCCACCAACCCCCTTTTTTCCCCCTTTTATTGTGAGACAGGATCTTGCTAAGTTACCCGTTCTGGGCTTGAGCTCCTCCTCCATCAACCTCCCATGGTGCTAGAATATAGGCGAGTGTGCACCACGCCTGGCTGGTTCAGAGCCTTCTCCACAGAGTGTTTTCAGCCCACAGTGTGGCTTGTCAGTCATAACATCATAATTTGAGGATCTGTACTGGGTTTCAAAAAAGATGCCTGGACTGTGGCACCTCCTTCCAGCGCAGTGTGTTGGGTTACCAGCATTTCCTGTGTGCTCGCTCTGGTGTCCCCGCCCTGTGCCGGGTAGAAGAGGACACAGTTAAAAAGAGTCCCCATTTGCTCGATGGAAGGGGGACAGTGTGGAGGACAGGCTGCTGCTGGGTGGTGGACCCGCACCCAGGCAGGTCACTTGCCCATCACTACGTGAGCAGGAAGGATGGTGGGTCAGGCATGTGGCTTCCTTGGGACTGGGGCCTGGATGGTGCCTCCTGTCCTAGCCACCATGTGTGCTGTGCCCTGTCCAGGGCCAGCTGCTGTTTTTCCATTGTGGGCAAGGCTGTGTCCCTATGGTGCCAGACACGAACCCGAAACCATTGTTGCAGGCTGAGGCCTGCCGCAGAGACAGGTTTGGGTAGGAGCTCCATGGCAGAGAGGGGGCCAGGCCCATGCCTCTGGTGTCACTTCCTAGAATAGGATGGGCAGGACTTTTAGGAAACAGCTGCCAGGGCTGGGTGTGGTAGTGCACGCTTATAATCCCAGCACTCGGGAGGCTGAGGCAAGAGGATCACTTCATGTTCAAGGACAGACTGGACTACACAGTAAATCCAAGGCGGCCTGGACCATAGCAAAACCCTGTCTCAAAGAAACATTTATTTATTTAAATAAATAAAATAACTCCCATTCCCCTGTGTGGGCTGCCAGCTGCCACTATGTCCTTGTTAATCTCCCCGGCAGCCTTTCCAACCCCAATGGGTGAGGTTGTGGACTCCCCATGTCTGCAGTGTCCCCCACTGTCCCTGAGAAAGTTTGGGGTGGAAGGCAGGCTCTGGAGTACTGTGGGCAAGGCTTGGGATGGGAGTCGCCCTTCTCCAAGGAGGCCCCAAGCCAAGCCTTGGGTTCTCCCCTCTGATTGTGTGTGCCCATCGAGAAAGCCTTGCCAGGCCGCTGAGCACAGGATTTCACCAGCGCCGTGCTCACAAAGTCCAGCCCACCCTCACTGTCATCCTCAACTCAGGCCTGTGCGATTCATCCTCGGTACCCACCATGATGCCAGGTCCTGCCTGGCACACAGCACTGCCTCAGTGGGTAACTGCAGGGTGCAGAAAGGTTTAGGGAGGAACTAGCTTTGGTGAGTCCCCAGGGATCCCAGGGACCTCATGTGCACCGTTTAGCTCCCTTCTCCCGGTGGTGACACCCTGCTTGCCCCAAAGTGTGATGGGGAGACCAGCTGCTCCCGGAGCGCTTACAGGTCCACGCCCTGTCCTAACCCTTTGTACACTGGCCGTTCCTCAGAGCCCTCTGAGGGGGGCCTTGTGCTTCCCCCGACAGATGAGGAAACTGAGTGATTTATTAAACACTCACACGTAGAAAGTGGCAGAGCCCAGAGCCACATCATGGCCACAGCACCAGCCTTGGTTGCATGGTGGCACCAAGAATTTGAATTCAGGTTTCCTGGCCAGCGACATCCAAGCGCCAGTGCTCTTCCCACCCCAGCTTCCTCCTAAGAATAGCCTCAGGCCCCCCCAGGGTTGTCTCCCAGACTGGTGAAGTAGCAGGAGGAGACCCCACACACACTAGGGGCTCTGCTAGTGTGGGGGACAGGCTGCTGCTGGGTGGTGGACCTGCACCCAGGCAGGTCACTTGCCCATCACTACGTGAGCAGGAAGGATGGTGGGTCAGGCATGTGGCTTCCTTGGGACTGGGGCCTGGATGGTGCCTCCTGTCCTAGCCACCATGTGTGCTGTGCCCTGTCCAGAGCCAGCTGCTGTTTTTCCATTGTGGGCAAGGCTGTGTCCCTATGGTGCCAGACACGAACCCGAAACCATTGTTGCAGGCTGAGGCCTGCCGCAGAGACAATTAGATCTGGCCAGAGGGGGAGTCACCAAGATCCTGAGTCCCACTCAGCTCCAGAGGGAGCAGAGCCACCCTTGGCCTTTGGGACCTTCTTGTCCCTGTAGGGCAAGAGATCTAGCTAGGGACACATGAGCCAGGACTTTGGATGACTGCACAGAAGTGGCATCCCTAGGAGACTCGGTTTCCCCACCTGTCAAATTTTGCGCATAAGTTGGCTGGTAAACAGGTCCTGCTTCTCAGCAGAGCACGTCCTGGGGCCCGGCTGCCAGGGAGAGGTGAGGGGTGGGGTCCCCTGTCCATGCTCCCTGCTGACCTGCGCTCTGGCCCCCAGATTTTCGACGCTGGGGAGAAGTTCGGGATAATGCAGGTGGAGGAGGCGGAGGACGAGGAGGAGGAGACCGCCAGGGAAGCACCGAGGAAACGGCCCAACCCGGGGGGTGAGCTGTGCTACAAGGTCATCGTGACCAGCGAAAGTGGGCTCCAGGCTGACGACCCTAACAGGTAGGATGCGAGGCTGAGCAGTGGTTGTCTACACTGTGACATTCAGGGCCTGGCTTCTTGTTGGAGTTGTCACCAACAGGAAGAGCAGCAGTCATTGTGATCCCTTGGGGCAGCTGTGTGTCATCTCCACCTGGGCTCTGGTCCTGAGGGCGTATTCCTGTGACCCTCCTGTCATGGTGGGCCCACTGCAGGCTGCTTAATGTACTGGCTTGCTGACGAAGAAGCAGACACTCAGGTGGGGTCCTGGGCCCCCCACCCCCGCTGGCCCTGCTGAATCAGATTCTCTGGGAGGGGTTCTGGGAAGTGGGACCTGAGCCTAAAGCGAGGCTGTGGGCTCCCCCGCCACAGGAACCATAAGGCTGGTCTCTGAGGGCCCCTGGAGTATGTCTCTGTCACCCTGTGCTCTTCCTCAGGTGCAGTGCAGTGAGCCTCATGTTCGCTTGGGCGGCACCGTAGGGGACACAGGAGCCATCTGCATGCCAGGTGTGGTGGCGCACACCTGTAATCCCAGCACTCAGGAGGCTGAGGCAGGAGGATCGTCAAGAGTTCTAGTCCAGCCTGGGCTACAAAGTGAGCTCAAGGCCAGCCTCAAGTGTATAGAGAGACCCTGTCTCAAAAAGACAAAATGAAAAAGAGGAAAGTAGCCGTCCTTAGTAGTTCAGGTCTGCAGCATACATAGCGCCCTGGCCAGGCCTGGGTTCAGAGCCTGAGGTGTTAACCCCTGTTCCACTGCTCCTATGAGCTTCTGGGATGGCCAGACCCCAGCAGGCTCTCTCCCAGCCTCCCTCCCAGCCCCTGCCTGGGGGCAGCACCCTCCCCACAGCTGCCCATGGTCCTCCTTGCCCAGGCATGCATCCTGGAGGTTCTGGCTCTGGGCCTTGCAGCATCCTCAACTCTAAGCATAGAGCAGGAGCAAATCTTCATTTGTCTCAGGATATGCAAACCAGGAAAGGAATAGGAATGCAGTGAAAGAAACTCTGAACTTGACCTCAGCCTGGGAACTGGGACATTTGTCATTTCTTGTATTTTCTCTTTTTAAGACAGGGTCTCACTGTGCAGTTTGGGCTGGCCTGGAGCTCACTTTGTAGCCCAGGCTGGTCTTGAACTCACAGAAATCCTCCTGCCTCAGCCTCTCGAGTGGTGGGATTGCAGGCATGTGCCATCAGCCCGCTCAATTCCTTGCATTTTAAAGGGAAGCACAGCACGGGCCAAGCAAGGTGCGACTTTCAGTGTCAGCATCCTGGGTGCCGGAGCCTCTGGCCCCACAGGGCTGTGGCTGGAGCGTGGCAGCCTCCATCAGCAACAGAGCACCGCCCTGTAGCCTGGTCCGGGGGAGCCGTGTGCTATCTCGGTCCCCTCCTCCTTGCTGAGATGCAGTACCCGACACACGAGTTAAGGTTTTCTTTTGGCTTATTTTGTAGATGGCTCAGTCCATGGTTGGCGGGCTGCAAGGGAGGGCAGCAAAGCAGAGATCAAGGGAGGAGGAGAGAGCTGAAGGCTTCAGGCCACACCCCCTGCACTCCCCCACCCCTCCAGGCTTCACCTCCCACATCGAGCTATAAACTCATCTGCTAATGAGTATCGCATCCCATGATCGATCACCTCCTAAGGAGGCTTCAGGGGAACGTCTGAGTATAAAGCATAATAGTGCCGGGTCCAGAAGCAGAAGCACGTGTGTGTGCGCGCACGCGAGCCCACACATGCCTGCATGTTCGAGGCTGTGCCACCCCCCGTGTGGGTGGAGTCTGAGGAGCTCGGCCTCTTGGTCACAGCGCTCAGCGTGGTTGCAGCCCAGATCCTTGGAGACATGTGATCGATGCTCGTGGTGATGGGCAGTGGGGACCCGTTTCCACATTTCAGAGATTAGAGGAGGGTGTGTTCAGGGACACGCACTGAGCAAGTGAGCTGCAGAACAAGGGTCCTGGCCCTGTCCCAGATTCCAGGATTGAGTACGACTGTGATGCTAGGGAAATGGGCTTCAAAGGATAGGGTGTGAAGTCCCAGTCACGCCCTGGTGTCTTCCTCTCCCCTCTGGCCCTCGTCTCCCTCCCCCTTTCCCTTTGCGCCATGCCTGCCCGGCAGCTCACATGTAGCCTGTGCCTACAGCATCTTCCTGATTGACCACGCCTGGACCTGTCGCGTGGAGCACGCGCGCCAGCAGCTGCTGCAGGTGCCGGGGCTGCTGCACCGCATGGCCAACCTGATGGGCATCGAGTTCCATGGCGAGCTGCCCAGCGAGGAGGTCGTGGCGCTGGTGCTGGAGGAGATGTGGAAGTTCAACCAGACCTACCAGCTGGCCCACGGGGTGAGCCATTGTAGCATCGGGGAGCAACTCATGTTCCCCATCAAGCGTGGGGATCCAGGTGCCCGCCCAGCCTTCGGGGTCCATTGCCGGTGGGTTCTTACCAGCCCCGAGGCCTGCCCAGCCACCTGCCATCCTGCACATTGGCTTCTTATGATTCAGTTCGGGGCCGCCTCCTCCCAGCAGCCTTCCTGGGCTCACCTCATCCGCAAGCCGACCACATCCACATAGTTGCTGCCAGCGGCCTGGCGGCCACGCGCCTTTGCACACCTGCCCTCAGGCTGCTCACGCTGCCCTGCCCAGCAGTCCCTGGACAGGGCCGGGTTATGAGTTGGTGGAAGGGAACAGCCTAAGTAATCTCAATCTGTGTGCATCCCCTGTGCCGAGCTAGACTGGGGCTGGGTTTGGGGCACAGGGAAAGGAGTTCAGCACCGGCAGGGCAGGGGATGCGTGGACGAGGGCTGCTGCTGTGTCCACCCCAGACCGCCGAGGAGAAGGTGCCGGTGTGGTACATCATGGATGAGTTCGGCTCGCGGATCCAGCACGCAGATGAGCCCAGCTTCGCCACGGCACCCTTCTTCTACGCGCCCCAGGGGGTGGCCTACACGCTGCTGTGGCCCCTGAGGGGCCTGGACACAGGCGGTAAGTCCAGTGCCACCCGCCTGCCCGCCCCAAGCGTGGGCCTTGGCCTCTCGACACCCCCGCTGACAGGCACGCGTGTCTTGGTGCAGAGGAGGTGACCCGGGACTTTGCCTACGGAGAGGCAGACCCGCTGATCCGGAAATGCATGCTGCTGCCCTGGGCCCCCGCCGACATGCAGGACCTCAGTGCCTCCACGCCCGAGCCGCCCGCTGAGTACTACCAGGTGTGGCCCGCCTCGGCCTCCACGCAGCCTGTTCGCTTAGTGGCTTCTCGAATGTTCTCTGGTCACTAAATGAGAGTGGACGCCAGTCAGTGACCAAGCCCTGAGCTGGTTGGTTACTTGGGGAGGTGGCAGCAACCGAGAGCTCAGGGTGCAGGCAGGAGCCACCTGGGCCCCCCTAGCCTGGACCATATCCTGATGTGGGTCCCGAGGCACCACAGGCTGAGACTCGGTCTTGCCTTGGCCGGCCTGAATGGTGGTGCTCTTGTCCCCGTAGAAGACCCCGCAGTGTCCTCAGTATCTGAGGGAACTCAATCCCAGGACCCTCAGGGATACCAAATTCTTCAGGTGCTGAGTCCCCCCGTGTGACACAGCGCAGTGTCCACAAATGGTCTGCACACAGCTGCCTGAAGACTAAGCCATCCTGGGCGGTGTACAGTCTGACACAGAGCTAAGATACTGTGTGAAAGGCCAGGGTTTTTAGTTCAGTGGCATAGGCGCCTGCCTGGCACCAGGACGTCGTGAGTTCAATCCCCGGTACAAAAAAAAAAGTACCGTGGGAATTATTTGCGGCATCACATAAATGACAGCAGCATACAGGAGTCTGCAAAGAGGCACAGAGAGGTTAAGTGACATGGGAGGTCACACAGCTGGTAGGAGAGCTGGAGTCCAAACCCAAGGCACAGAGTAGCGCATGGCCGAGGCCACAGCCCTGCACGGCTGTGTGTCAGGCTGCATGGCCGCAACAGGCAGCTTCCGGTGCTGTCTGAGGGACCAGGAAGGTGCAGAGGGACCAGGGTGAGGGAGCTCACATTGGAGCCCCTGCTGGGCGGGCGCTTTGGGATCCTTGGGCTGCAAGGGGTGGGCGCAGTCCAGCTGGATGGGTGGCTTAGGCCCAGTAACATCTGGGGCTTGAGTCTGTCCCTGGAACCCTGGCAGCCCTGCACTACAACAGCAGAGAATCAGACACTTAGACCGCAGCATCGTGTCCTCTCCGCCCCCGCACAGCCTATGGAATTCAGTCTGTACTCGGGGCCCCAGCCTTGTACCCCCTGTGCTGCTTAGCTGTGGCCTTGGCAGACAGCTCCAGGTCCGGTGGCTTCAGGAGCCAGCACAGCTCACCTCACCGAGTCCAGGGTAGCAGGGGCCACACTCACAGGCCCAAAGGGTCTGATGCTGGGGCTCTGCTCGCATGCAGTGCTGCTGTGCCCCGGCAGGTCTGTGCTGGCCTCGGGCAGGAGTGAGGCTCCCCATGGGCCATGCATGCCTCCAGCACTGCAGCCGCCTGCCCCCAGGAGTGACCCAAGAGAAAGCAGAGAGGAGCCGCAGGCCTCTGTGACTGCCCTAAAGCCGAGCGCTGTCACTGCCCCATGTCTGTCCGTCTGTGGGCCCAGCCTGCCCACAGCTGAGGCTGGCAGCAGCTCCCCCTACTTCCCTGTGGCTTGGCGGTGGCACTGGAAGAGAGCAGTGTGAACCTCAGTCTTACGATGTCAGTGGAGAGCCATTTCACGCCTGACAGGCCTCAGGCCCAGGGCCCCAGGGGCCTCGGGGTGTCCCGAGTGGCAGCTGCTGAGGCTTCCCCAGCGGATGGAGCTGGCAGCCGGGCTGGGAGGTGCATGTCCTTGAGCCCCTTCTCCCTTGGTGTGTTTCCTTCTAGGCCATTCTGGAGGAGAACAGGGAGAAGCTGCCTCTTGCCATCAGCCCAGCGCCCTACCCCCAGGATCACGTCTTCAGGTACAAAGTCCACAGCTGGCTAGCCCTCCACAGCTGCCATGTCCCACGCTCACTGTGCTCCTGGCACTCACTGGGCACCACGGTGGGTCAGTGGGAGGTGCTGATGAGCTGGGCCCCCCAGAGGAGGAAGGTGTTAAATGTACCCAAAAAGTCAGAAACAGGAGCAGGCCGACCTGCTGGTGGTGGGTGGAGGACCCGGGGCGGAAATATTAGCTGCTACCCCAGCCCCTGGCTGTGGGAATAAAAACAGGGCTGCTCCCGACAGCAGGGCCCATGCTGGCTGTGGTCTTGCTGGCACCTCCTGAGGGCCCCTCCCAGAGTCCAGGCCACAGACTGCAGTCCTCCATTTACAGGTGAGAAGGTAGAGGTTCTGACTGCTGCGCCCACCCAGTGCTGAGCCCGGCCCTTCCACTGGGACCGGGTAGGGTCTCTGTCTTCAGGGGAACCCGTGGGAACCCCCAAACACCCTGCTAGGGCCTCCAAGCCTAGTCCAGTCCAAGCAACCTCCAGACTCTTTCCTGAGATGCAGGACTGGCTGGGACTCAGGCTCTGTCCCCCCGCCTGGGGTTGAGGCCACCCCCAGTCAGGCTTCACAGTCACTGGGAACCAGCTGACTGCTTGGAGCAGGTCCACCGAGGCGGCAGTGCCCGGCCTGCCCAGCCCCTGCCCCCTCTGCCCTTCCTGCCTTCACATTCGCCTGTCCGCCCCTGCCAGACCCCAGCGAGCTTGCCTGCCAGGGCCTCCGGAGCATGTCCCCAGCACCGGCTCCTACGTGGGAGGGCAGAGCTCCTGGTGTGTCCGCAGGAGGAGGGAACCGGTGCACAGTTAACACCCGAGCTGTCCTGCGTCGTCCTGGCACAAAATCGAGGTGGGGGCGGAGGCACAAGGCCCCTGTTTCACGGCAGAGAGCAGGGGATGTGCGTCCAGGTCCAGCTGCCAGCGCAGGCAGGAGCTTGCCCAGGGTGATGTGGTTACCGCGGCGCTCAGCCTGGGGCTTCCCTCCCCGCAGGGTCCACACGGACGTGCAGCAGGTGCTGGACCACCTCTCGCACCCGCGCTTCACCTTCGTCGAGAGCGAGACGGATGCCGACATCCTCTACCACTTCTCCCACTTCAAGGACTACAGGTGGGCGCCACGGGCCTGCAGGGGAGCCCACGCCCGCCCGAGCTGGGCCTCCCTCTGAGTGTGCCCCCACCCCCCGTGCCTGCCTCCGCCACAGGAAGCTCAGCCAGGAGCGGCCGGGCGTGCTGCTGAACCAGTTCCCCTGCGAGAACCTGCTCACGGTGAAGGACTGTCTGGCCTCCATCGCACGCAGGGCTGCGGGGCCCGAGGGCCCTGCCTGGCTGCCACGCACCTTTAACCTGCGCACTGAGCTGCCGCAGTTCGTCAGCTACTTCCAGGGGCGCGAGAGGCGGTGAGGCCCCAGCACAGCCAGGCCGGGGACCCAGGCGTCCTTTACCTCCTGCTGCACCACCTCACCCCCACCCAGCCTGCGCTGAGCTCAGTGCTGTTGCTGCGGTGCTGACCATGTGTATCAGCAGCAGCTCTGGTGGGGCCACCAGGCCCTTCTCCCCCAAGCAAGCACAGTCCCAGCCACAGCCTTAAGCGGTCACCTCCCTGTCCCCAAGGCCCAGCCCCCTTTGCAACTCTTCAGTCCCTGGGAGACAATGGCTGCCCCTCTGCCGCTGGGGTCCTGGCCCCCAGTGCTGGAGGGCTGGCCCTAGGAGCAGCCTGGTGACAGCCCTGGCCCCCAGGGGTGAGGACAACCACTGGATCTGCAAGCCCTGGAACCTGGCCCGCAGCCTGGACACCCATGTCACCAGGAGCCTGCACAGCATCATCCGGCACCGGGAGAGTACCCCCAAGGTGGGCCTCGGCACTGCATGCAGAGGGGCTCAGGGTGGGGACCCAGGAGATACAGAGAGCCCTTCACAGTCCTCCCCACAGTCAGGGAGGTTTGTATCTGTTATCTCTTAAAAAAGTTAGTGGAACTCCAGAGAGTTAACTCCAATCTACCCCCTCCAGCACGACGCATGGCGTGGATAAAGACACTAAAGCATATTTGTAGTTGTGGGGAGCCCAGGGGCCCTAAGTTCAGCTAGGATAAGAAGCAGGTGAGTGCTGTGAGCTGGGCTAGGTAGGAGGCCTGAAATCACCCTGCAGAGTGCAGAGAGAAGGGTACGAAAAAGAGTAATCTGCGTAACAGTTGGGGTGATAGTTAATGTTTTGGGGTGCTTCAGCTGCCTGGCCAGTCCTGGCCTTATCTCCAGGCTCCATCCCAGTTGACAGCGTGGACTGTGGCTCTCCCTCCCTTGGCAGGGTAACACTGATCTGTCCACCTTGCTTAAAGACCACATCAGCACCTCAGCTACACCTGATTTGCGTTGCTTAAATCCAATGCAGGGGATAGGAGACATCCTAAGCCAAGTGCACAGCAGTACAGGGAGACAGGGCCAGGGTTAGCCAGAGTGGAGGTCACGCTCTTCTTCCAAAGAGGGCTGCCCAGGTGGTCGGGGTCAGGACTGGAGCAGAGCCCAGCCTGCCTGTGCCGTTGCAGGGGGTGATTGTGACAGTCAGATAAGAATCTTCTGGGTGTGTCTACCCTCAGAGTCCCAGCATGTGCTGGACCAGGTGACATGGCACCCAGAGAGGGCAAGGCCGGACAGGCCCAGGGTCCAAGATGCTGGTCCCCCAGCGGCAGGACACCTAGAATCATCTGGGGGATCAGAAGGCACAAAACACCCCTGACCATGGCTCCCGCAGGGGACATGCTGGCAACAGATACTGGGAGGACAGGGACCACCAAGACCTCGCTGTGGGCGGGGAAATGGGGCTGGACAGGGTCAGGGCCGAGTCGATGTTCTGTTTTTAAAAACCTGAAGTCCAGAGGGCTTTTTCAGTCAGTGGAAAGATGTGGAAGGCGTTCGCAGCCCACTAGACAGGGTGGTGTCAGGTCCAGGGTCCCTCTGGGGGTGCCGGGGAGGGGGCAGCTGGTGACCCCGCTCTGCCCTCCAGGTCGTGTCCAAGTACATCGAGAGGCCCGTCTTGTTCCTGCGCGAGGACGTGGGCAGCGTCAAGTTTGATGTCCGCTACATCGTGCTGCTGCGCTCCGTGAAGCCGCTCGGGCTCTTTGCCTACGACGTGTTCTGGCTGCGCTTCTCCAACAGGTACCCGGGCGGCGCAGGGTCCGGGCCGGGGCTGGGTGAGCTGGGGCCTCCTTGCTCCTGGGGTCAGGCAGCCTGCACCGGAGTCTCTGCCCTGTGAGCCCTGGGCCTCAGCAGCGGGGACTCAGTGTCCCCATCCCCTCCTAGAGCTGGTGCCTGCGCTGCAGGGTGCTGACATCTGTGACGGGCATCACGATGCCCAGGGACACTGCATGGGCCATGGGGAATCTTCCCAGTTAGCGCCTAGCTCAGCTGACCCCAGCCCGAGGGGCTGAGGGGTGGAGGCAGCTGTGGCGCATAGAGCCCCGGAGCCCATGGCCACCTCTGTCTCCCTGTCACGCTGCAGACCCTTCGAGCTCAATGACCTGGATGACTACGAGAAGCATTTCACCGTCATGAACTATGACCCGGATGTGGTGCTAAAGCAGGTGGGCCCTGGTGAGGCCCGGGAGGAGGGTTCTGAGTCCTGGCCGGCAAAGGCGATTTTTAAAGGGAACGTGACGCACCAGGCCCAGGTCTTGTGCCCTCAGAGTCCTCCCTGCGGTGCTTAAGAGCATGTGCTCTGGTGGCAATCATGGGCACAGTCCCCAGGTGTGAGAAGGGGTTCAGAGGTCAGAGCAGAGGGGTCCCCTAAAGAAGGGCTCCTGTCCCTGCAGCTCCTGTGAGCATAGGGACAGGTGAGGAGCCACCCAGACCCGGAATCTCCTGTGTGCCCATTGCTTCCTGGCACACAGTACCCATTGGTGCCCACAGCAGGCCTCGCTGAGGGCCGAACTGCCACCTGCATGGCAGAGCTGAGTAAGGCGTCAGGCAGAGTCTGTGCCCAGCTGAGGGCAAGGCCACAGCAGCACCCTGGGGCCCTGCACAAGGGCCAGGGCCAGCTCCCCAGTCTCTAAGGAGAGAAGCAGCCGGCCACCTCGCTCACCCCAAAGTCCTGTGTGTCCTGATCACAGTGTTCCAGGCAGATGCTGCCGAGCAGGCCCTCTTCTGTGCACGGGGTGGGCGTCTGGCGCCGCTGGGTTCCCCCTGGCATGAGGCTGTGCCAGGATGGTCCCGAGGGCTGCGTCCAGGCGGCACTGACACTGGTCTGTGGGACTGAGCATCGTGTGTTCACTGTTACCCCGGAGGAGTCCCACACAGGGAGTGACCGGGCAGACACACACCCAGCGGGGTCTGTGTCCCCTTCGCCCATGGCTGTGCCGAGGGGCAGGACCCAGAGTGCCTGTCTTCCTTCCTGCAGGACGTTGCTGGAAGTCACCCCTGGGGGTGCTGACCCCCTTCCCTCTGCATCGTGAGCTATGGGGCAGCTGTGAGCAGGGACACAGGCCCCGGCCTGCAGGGCCTCCAGGAAAGACCCGGGCCAGCTTCCCCCGTGTCGGGGTGAGGTCTTGGTGTCCTTTCGCCATTTCTAGGCCGGTGCAGCGCAGTGACGTAGGCAGGGTGCTGCAGGCCTCTGGGGTCCCGTTCCTGCCTGGGCACACAGTTCCTGGCCTGGCAGTCTCCAGAGTCTGCTCTCAGTGCCTGCCGGAGCCTGTGGTCACAGTGCTGGGCAGGAAGGTGCCAGAGGTTTCTCAGAAAAAGAAACAGGTTGCTCTGCTGGTCCGGAGTCGTACAGTAGATCAGTGGTTAGCGCGGCCCCCTGCCCCTGTGTGCACCCTGAAGGCCAGGCTGGACACCAACTGCAGCACAGTGTCCACGGCCTGTGCTCCTCAATAGCGGGGCCCCAGCAAAGCGCGCACCCCCGTCTTTCAGATGCACTATGACGAGTTCATCCCCAAATTCGAGAAGCAGTACCCGGAGTTCCCCTGGAGCAGTGTGCAGGTGAGTCATGAGGTCCTGAGGTGGGGACCATGCCGGGGCCCCTCCCACAGCTACCGCTGCCCGCCCAGCTGGCAGTGCTCTTTGCCTCTCTGGATGGCCCTCCCCCTCCAATCGGGCCCTGGGTAGGGCGTTGCAGGGCTCCTCAGCAGGAGGGGCACTTGGGGCACCCCTGGGACAGCCATCAGACAAAAGTCTCCGCCAGCCCTGGGAATCCAAGCCCCCTGGAGAGCAGCTGGGCATCTGGGTGCTGGGGCAGGTTCTCAGAAGTGGCCCCAGGACCAGGGCGTGGCACAAGCAGCACAGTTGCCAGGCCTGAGGGGTCAGGTGTCAGAGGGGCAGTCACAGACAGGTGCAGAAACCCCAGGGCCGTGGTGGGCAGGGCTCAGGCACAACCACAAGACCTGGTCTTCAGCGGCTGCTCCAGGGCCAGGTGTCAGGGTCAGGGCCGAGTAGGCCACTGACCCAGTCTCCCGTCCCCAGGCCAAGATCTTCCGCGCCTTCACCGAGCTGTTCCAGGTGGCATGCGCCAAGCCGCCACCCCTGGGCCTCTGCGACTACCCCTCGTCCCGGGCCGTGTATGCCGTGGACCTCATGCTGAAGTGGGACACCCGCCCGGATGGTGAGGGACTCCCCTGCCTGGCCGAGCAGCCGTCCCAGCCCCAGCCCCGCCACCTCTGCCCAGACGCTCCCCTGCCCAGCCCCCACCACTGCCTGCTCTGCTCTGCCAGGGTCTCAAGCCATGCAGCCGCAGATCCTGGAGGTGAACTTCAACCCCGACTGCGAGCGCGCCTGCCGGTACCACCCCTCCTTCTTCAACGACGTCTTCAGCACCTTGTTCCTGGACCAGCCTGGCGACTGCCACGTCACCCGCCTCGTCTAGGCCGCGTGGCCCCTGCCACCTGTGCCGGAGAGGCCCTTCCAGTGCCCCTGCGCAGCTTCTGCAGAGCCCCTCCCCGGCCCTCTGGGACCACTGTCCCCACCACGGTCAGGGCCCTGCGCACTGAGACGTGTCCCTGTCCTTGAGAGCTCACCCCTGCCTCATTGCAGAGGTCTTAGTGGGGAGACGGGCTCCTTGGAAACCCTGGCACATCTGTCTGCACCCGAGGGGCTGCGTGATGGCCCCAGAACCGAACTGCCTGGGGGAACGGCCTGTCACCCTTAGACCCCAGCCACTCATGGCAGACCGGTCACCGGCAACACCGCAGCTTGGGCGGGCACTGAGCCAGGGTGGGCCTGGCCTCCGGGAAGCTGCCCGTTGTCCTGGGGCCTCCCTGTCTGCTGGGGACCAGACCAGGGGCCTCGGCCAAGCCTGGGTGCTGATGTGACCCCAGGAGAGCTTTGTCCGCCTCCTGCAGAGATCTAGAATCAAAATGTTGGGTTGATCTTCTTTTTAACTTATGCAATTAAAAATGCAGAATTTTAGCTCTTTCCTAATTTCATGTTTTATGAAGCCACAGTGCACCTCAGGTGGCTGACCCTGACCCCCACAGTGGCCAGAGCTGTTTCCAAAGCGGCTGTTCATTTTTGAAGCTAAAACCAGCCCTTCCCGAGGCAGAGCCGGACTCCGCTGTCTGGGCTCCTCTGGGTTCCCTGCCTTGCTGGATTGTACCGCAATAAAGTCAAACTTTCAACTCTGCCTCTTCCTCCGTGCCCCAGAGCAGAGCTGGCAGGTGGGCAGCCGCGTCCACCTACTGTACAGACACACAAGCTATCACAAGGGGGTTGAGACCTCCGAGCCCCAACGCATTTCCCGGCTCTGGGCCCGGTTCCATGGGATTGCGGGGCAGACACAGAGCAGGGTCCGTCCCTCTGCACTGAGGCCTGGTGCCGGGGTGGGGGTGGACTGGTCAAAGAGGGATCACGTGGGGGTTGGGACCAGCCTGGAGAGAGAAGCTGGTACCCAGAGGGTCAGCTGACATCCCCAGCTCTCACCTGGGCAAGACCAGCAGAGGGCCCCCACCCAGGGACAGCCAGACAGCCCTGCCTGGAAGCAGCGGTGAGCAGGTGACAGCACCATGCCAGCCTGTGTCCCTTGGTCCCAGCACCCTCCGCAGCAGGGTCTCAGGTCCACGGAGGCTGTGGCCGGGTCCAGCCACATGCATGATCTGGCCCAGGGCATCCCGCAGGGCCACAGCCCCCACCCAGCCACAGAGCACACACAGGAGGTTGGCATTTTATTCAGCTGTAAATTGCTGTGCCCAGAAGCTCCGAGCAGCATAGAAGCATAGGACACTGCTCCCCACGGGGCTCAGCCTAGGCCACCTCTGCACCACTGCTGAGTCCAGGCCACATCCCCGACAGGCCTGGTGACCAACAGCACCTGCTGGCCCTGGTCCCAGTCCCTGGCACACCCTCACTCTGCGGTGTGCCGGTCCCCACGGCGGCCACGGTTATCCTGCCACACTCGGTAGTTGAGCAGGGTCGCGAAGGCCAGCCAGGCCAGGTATGGGTAGAGCAGGCGGGCGGCCGGCGGGCTCACGTGGTACCAGGCCACAGTCGTGATCACCGCTCCCCCGCTGACAAGCAGGAGGTCCACCAGGGCCTGTGGAGACACAGGGACAGGGAGGCTGAAGCTGCACCGCCACCCACAGCTCCAGCCACCTCCACCCTTGAGCACATCCTCAGCCTCAGTTTCCTTGGCTGTAAAATGGGAGTGTCACTCCTGCCGCACCTGTGCCAGGTGCAGGCTGTGCTAAGGGAGACCTAGGAGCTGAGCCCTGACTTCCCTGCACCCCTGAGAGCCCCAACAGCCTGGCTGTAAACTGCCAAGTGCTCCTGGGCACGGTGGCGCATCAGTAATCCCAGCAGTCTGGGAGGCTGAGGCAGGAGAATCACCAAGTTCTAGCCCAGCCTGGATGATTTAGTAACAGCCACTGCCCCCACCTGCATAGGCTGCCTACATCTGAGATCCTGCAGGGATTCCCTGGAGGCCAGAGGAGCGCAAGGCCACACTTACCCAACCCATCTGCCGAGCACCAAAGAAGATGGGGGGCCACGCCCAGTTCAGGGCCAGCTGCCCAGCATATAGGCCCAGAGGACCCACGGCCTCCTCCGTGAATCCACCCAGCTCCTTCCAGATCAGGTAGGATCCGTACCTGGAACAGAGGCCGCTGGTCAGGACCGCGCTGGGGGCAGAAGCTGGGAACCTCACCTACTGCAACCCTCCCAGAAAGTGCGGTGTGGCCTTGGGAGAACGGCTACGCCTCTCTGGGCCTTTGCTTCTCCTAGGATTGCTGTGGTCACTGGAGCTGACACATGGGCAGAGATCAGTGCAGCACCTGGCATGCAGGACACCCAGTAAATCTTTGCCAGTGTCACCATCTGTACTATCCGAGGGAAACACACAGGCCATGTGGGTAAAGCCAGGGCCTCTGCACACAGGAGGGGGCATTTGGCTTGGCCTCAGAGGCTATGTAGGAGTTTTCCAAGGAGAGAAAACAGGATACACAAAGGCTTGAGGCAGCTGTGAGACCCTGCATCAGGGCTCAGGGCCACCAGGCCTTCAGGGGCAGCGGAAGAGCTGGGCCAGGTGTGACCTGCTGGACCTGCGCTGGAGGTCGGGCTCCAGGATGGGGACGACATGGGGCCCGGGAAGTGCGCAGAGCCACAGGCCCGGCCCAGTGACACCCTCAGATCTGGCCTGGCCTGTGCCACCTACCCAGGGCGCCTGGTACCTACAGACCCACCCTGGAAGCAAGTGGGGGGCGCTGACCACCACACACTCCTGGGTGTGGGCCCCACTGCACCCAGCAGGGGTCGCCCTCCCCACACTCCCAGAGCTAGTTGTCACAGGGCATTCTGAGGCCAGATTTGGGGAGGCCTTGGGGGTCCTCACTTGCTAGCTTGTATCCTTGCAAGGTGCCTTGTCAAACAGGGGACTCAAAAGTCAGGTATGGTAAGTCTGGCAATTGCCCTGGCCTGGGCTCATCTCAGAGGGGGACCTCCCAGGGTGCGACCTTTACCCTGCTCAGCTGGCACCCCCGGCTGCTCCCGAGAGGCCCAGGAGGAGAAAGTTCGGTTGTGCAACCCCAGGCCTCCTCCTGGGCTGGGAACAGTGCCACCCTTGCCCCAGCCGCCCTCTGCCATGGGCACCGTGCCTGCCTGGGAAGGGAACCTACCCCATGGCCGAGTACAGCGTACCCCAGATGGGGGCCAGAGCCCAGCGCGGCGGGTGCCACGAGGGCTTCTGCAGGGTGGCATACCAGCGAAGTCCCTCACCACGGACGAAGTAGGCGCCCACGAAGCCCCCCAGACTGGGCACAAGCGTGAGGCCCACGGCGGGCACCCAGGATGTAGCCATGGCTGTTGTCCTGGAAACTGGAAGAGAACAGAGGGCCGGGAGGAGGGCCTTTCCCAAGGACCTGGGGTCAGCCTGCGGTCACCATCAGCGTCCCAGATCCTGCTGCCTAGGGACAGATCAACAGTGGGGACCCTGCGCCAGGCTGCTTCTAGCTCAGCCTCCCCATGCCAAGTGCTAGGCTCTAGAACCCTCCAAGCTACACTCCCAGCCCTTTTTAATTTTATTCTGAGGCAGGGTCTCACTAAACTGCCCAGGTTGGCCTAGAACCCACCATCCTCCTGCCTCAACCTCCCGAGTACTGGGAATACAGGTGTGTCTGCTGCGCCCAGCAAAGCCTGTGGTCTGTGTTATAGCCCTTGAGGTTTTCATTCATGCCTACATTCATTCATTCAGACTTTGGCTCCCTCAAATCCCTGTTCCCTGCCGAACTACTGTGACCTCAAGCACTGTGACCTCTCTGGGCCTCAGTGTCCCCCTCTGCAGAATGGGATCTCGAAGCTTCCTATCTCAGACCCAGCCCAGGGCACAGCATCAGGAGCCATCTCTATACCCAGGTGTCCCACCTCCATCCCAAAGTGGCATCCTAAAGCCACCACCCCTTCCTGGGCACCAAGGAGGGGCAGTGGCCCCCATCCAACACGCAGGGCAAGGAGCTGAGGCTGGGGAGTTGCCTCCACCCACCATCTCTCAGGGGCGGTCACAGGCCCGATAGCAGAGACTCTGCAAGATGGGGCGAGTACTTTCAGGTCTGTATTTTTTATGTATTTTGTGGCATTAGGGATGGAACCCAGGGCCTTGCGCATGCTGGGCAAATGCACCACAAGGTCACACCACAGTCCTGGAGGAGTTTCTGCTGTTGTTTTGAGCCAAAGTCTCACCAAGTAGCCCAGGCTGACCTCAAACTCGTGGTGACCATCCTGCCTCAGCTCCGGAATGCTGGGATTACAGTCTGGACAAGCAAGAGACCAGCATATCCTACCCACAGGGAAACTGAGACCAGAGAGCTCAGGTCTCCTTGCTCTGGGTGACTATGTGCCCTTCCCAAGGATGAACCCAGGATGTCCACAGGACGGCCTTTCTCACTCACAGCATGGTCCATTCCCAGTTGGACAGGCTGATGTCACTGAGACACTGCCGTCACTACCCTCTGGTGGGACCACAGATGGGGACACTAGGTTCCTGCCCCAATGTAGCCCCAGCCCAAGCCACAAGCCAGGCAGCTTGTTAGGAATTTTTTTGATACCGGCAATCAAATTCAGGACCTTGCACTTGCCAGGCAGGCACTTACACCTTTGAGCTAAATCCCAGCCCTAACTTGGGCAGCTTGAAAAGGAGCACTGGCCTGGAGGGCGGCGAGGGGTACTCGTTTCCAGGGTCCTCCAAATGCCACAGTAACCAAAAGCAAAGGAGGGTGAGGTGCCTTGAGACCCAGGAGAAATAAAAACAAATCATAGCTAGTGGGGGGCAGAATGGAAAAACTGGGTGCCACACCCAGGAGTGAAGGGAATCAGGGCATCCCAGACACACGGGAATTATTGGTTGTCACTATCACTTGGGGTACTGGCGATAGGACCCAGCGGCTCACACACGCTGGGGATGCACTCGACCCCTCGCTACACCCGCAGCCCTCACTTTTCATTGGAGACACTCTCGTCAGGTTGCACAGGCGGTGCTAGAGCCTGTGACCCTCCTGCCTCAGCTTCCCGAGGAGCGGGGGTTACAGGCATACACCCCCACACCTTGCCTAGGCGCTACTTTTGCAACTTCTGTAAGTCTAAAGCTCACTCTAAATACAGCGTTAAGCACGAAGCACTCTGGGCACAGTGGGAGGGGAGCAGCCCCGGGCTCCCGCCCCTGCCCTCCACTGTCCCCGCAGGAGCCCGGCTGTTGCCATCGCTGGCGCGAGGTCTCCGGCGGACAGAGGCGGACCAGACCCTTCCTGGGCCTCCTGGGCACTGCCAGCTTCTGAATCACTCGCCTGGGGCGGCGGGAGGCAAAGGGTGGGACCCAAAACTGAGTCACCCAGGCATGGCCCGCTGGACCCGGGAGCCAGGAGGGCCAGGAACTGGGCCGGAGACTCGGGCTCAGCCCGCAGCCTCTCCCTCCCCGAAGGTAAATAGGAAGCTTGGCCCCGCCCCAGCCTGCTGGTGACCCCAACCACAGCCCCCACCCCCGGGTCAGGTGGGCGTGTCCTCCCTGCCCCCGGGAGGAAGGGGCGGGGCAGCAAGAGCTCCCGAAAACTCCGTGGCCTTCTATGCTGGAGACCGCTCCCCACATTTCCTCCGGGGGAACAGATGAAGAGGCAGGGGCTACGCACAGAACGTTTTAGGTCACCTGTGTCACCTCCCTAGGTGGGTACAGCTGCCACCACCCACCTCTCCCAGCGTTAGGAGGTTCCCTGGAGCCCCCAGCATCACCCGGCCACCTGCAGTGCAATGACCTTCCTAGGCACCCAGTTAGAGAAAGGACCCGGAATCTGCCCCCTAGACCCGGGACTCATCTGGGCCTCCTTGTTCCCATCCGTAAAATGGAGCTGGGTGTCTGGGCCCCTCACCCTACCCCAAGAGCCAGGGGCCCCGAAGCAGGCCTGAGCTGTGTCCTCTCTGGTCCGCTCCCTTTGCTGCACCCAGCTCCCCCAGGCCTGGCCTCAGCCCCCAGCCTCAGCGTCCCAGGGATGATTATATTTTTGGTGACTCCACGTTACAATGTTCGTGCGCCTCTTCAGTTAGCGGCCACTCGCCAGCGGGTGGCGCGGGAAGCTGCTTCAGGAAGAGCGGTCGCTTTTTAAAAAGAGAAAGCGGCCGGGCGTGGTGGCGCCTGTCATCCCGGCACTCGGGAGGCTGAGGCAGGAGGATCTTTGCGAGTTCGAGACCAGCCTGGGCTACAAAGTGAGCTCAAGGCCAGCCTGAATCGCATAGGGCGACCCTATCTCAAAAAATAGCAAAAGAGAGGGAGACAGAGAGAAAGCGCCCCGCGCCTGGGATCCCCGCCCTCCTGGGGCTCGCTAGCTCTGCGCGCCTGGCTTCTCGATCGGTCCCTGCAGCGGAGAGCCAACCCAGGCGCCCTCGGCGTCTACACCCGCGGGGTCTCGCGCAGCCGCCCAGCCCGCAAGCGCCGCCAGGGCCCGCGCAAGGGTTAGGGTTAGGGTTGGAGCCAGCCTCAGTTTGCCCTCTGGCGCTGCGCCGCCCGGGGCCCCAGCGCCACTCACCGCTCTCCGGAAGACACTGAGCCTGGTGGCCCAGTCCGCGCGGCACCCGCCCTGCGCCCGCCCCGCCCCGCCTGGGAGCTGGAGGCGGTGGCTGGCTGGCGGCCTGGCCTCTCTGCCCCACCTCGCCGCCCGCAGAGCCCTGCGCTTCCTGCAGGGGGCTCTGACCTCCCCTGCTGGGCCTAGTGGCTTCCAGCTCCTCCTGAGTAGAAGGGGCGCGACCTATGGGATCCACGAGGGTGCCACCCACAATGTGGGCACAGTGCCCACAGACACGGGGTGCTGTGTGAGCAGAGGTGGCCCCTGCTTAGCCAGGGTCACTCTCAACACCGCCCCCCCCACGTGTGGCTCTGTTTGCTGTCCCTGACCCCTTGATGGCTCGCCCAGCAGTGCCTCTCACCCTGCGCCAGCTGAGGGTTTACACAATGGCACCATGACCTGGCCTCTCCTTGGGGACCAGCCAGGGTTGCCCTGTGACTACTTTTCAAGAATTTGACATATATAAATTCTTTAATGTGACACATTTTTAAACCAGGCATGGTGGCTCACGCCTGTAATCCCCACACTCGGGAGACTGAGGCAAGAGGATCGTTGTGAGTTCAAGACCAGCCTGGGCTACAAAAGGAGCATCTGCCTGTGTAAGACAGGAGGCAGAAAGGTTTACTGGGGGCTGGGAGTGGAGGTTTGGGGGGGTCGTGGAGCACTGGGATTGGAGAGGGCTCAGTGCGTGCGCAGGAAGGGAGCGGGGGTTCATCTCCGGAATGAGAAGGAGAAGGTAGAGGTCACTCTGGGACAGATGAGCTATTTCTCTGGGTCTGGTACCAAGTTGGTTTAGCTAAACCCCAGGCTGGCAGAACCTGCCACCCACCCTTCCACCCTTGGGGCTGTACACATGCTGCCCCCTACCTGGCACCCCGTGCCCACCTTGGGCGTCTCCATGTGTCCCAACCTGGCAGTTCCCAGCATCCCCCCAGGACCTCTTCCAGAACCCACCTCTGATCCCGACCTCAGGGGCAATGACCTCCACCCCCCTGAGCTGCATCACGCTGCAGGGAGCCTCTCCTGGGCAGCTGGCCAGTGCCAACTCTTCCGGACCCCAGAGACTGAGTCCAGCTCCCACGCGCAGAGAGGGGAGCCCACCCAGGAAGTCCAGCTCGCTCCCCACCACTGCATGGGGCAGCTTCCCCGCTCTTTCCTGGTGGTGTATGTTTGCTTTGTGATGTGAGTAGCCTGTGCTTATTATAAAAGAAGCAGGAGTTTGGTGGAGACAGATATCTATCATCCCGGCACTGAGGAGGCTGAGGCAGGAGGAGTTCAAAATCTGCCTGGCTACATAGTGAGAACCTGTGTCAAACAGCCATTCAGCCGGAACCACCTTCTTCCAATAATCAACACGAAGGGAAAGAGGAGGGGAGCCTGGCGTGTGTTCTCTAGACCATTTAGAAAACACAAGGTTGTTCCTTTGGCCACATACATGCGAATCTACAAAAAGGGCGCTATTGTAGACATCGAGGGATGGGTGCTGTGCAAAAATGAGCGCCACACAAATGTCACCTGGCAGAACAGGAAAGGTCTCCAGTGTTACCCAGCATGCTGCTGGCTTTGTTGTAAACAAGCAAGTTAAGGGCAAGATACTGGCAGAGAGGATAAACGTGCATATTAAACACTCAGAGAGCTGAGACAGCTCCCTGAGACATCAAGGAGAAGGATCAGAAAAAGAAGGAAGCCAAAAACAAAGAGACCTGGGTTCAACTGGAGAGCCAGCCCGGCCTGCCTGGGAAGCGCACTTTGTGAAACCCAGCGGAAGGAGCCTGGGTTGCTGGACCGAGTTCTCTCTGAATTCAGGGCACGGGCCGGGGGTGCAACTCAGCCATTCAGCACTTAATGGGTGGCCAAGTGTTCTGGGCCCCACTGAAAAATAAAAAGAAATCACCCTGTGTTGTAAGGATGGTTTTCCCAACTGAGCAGGTGTGTGGTGTCTTTACCTCAGAAACAAATGTTTGGAGCAGAGTTACAGTCTACCTAGGTAACTCTGTCAGGTCTTTGCTCTTAAGTGTTTTTCTTGCAGAAAGATGCTGGTAGGTATTGTGTAGGCGTGGACCCAAATGGCCCACTATTTATGAAATATTTATAGTGGCTTGAAGAGCCTGTAAATCACCAGGGGGAACAGATGTATCAAGATAAAATGAGAGTCACTTCAGTTAAATAAATAGACGTCCATTTCAGTTAAATAAATCGTTTAAAGCAAAAAAATAAATAAATATTTATGTACGTATGCAAATGTACACACGCATGCGCATGTGCATACATAGCAGATAGCCAGAAAGAAGAAAAACATGCAACCACCCTCCCGCCCCTAGAGAGGAAGCTTTCGGCATCTTTGCTCTTTCAAAGCCAGGACTCAGGTTCCTTTTCCTTTACCAGAACTCTCAGGCAATAAGCGGTTGTGTAACCCGTTTTCTTCCCCCAGCAGGAGTAAATCAGAAGCCTCCTGCCTGTCTCCCTGTAGCTCCTCCCTCCTCCCCACCGAAGAAGTCACCGCTACCTCAGCTTTGGGGCCCAACACCCCCTGGCTTTTCTTTAGGGTTTTATTTGTTCATGTATTTATTTTTTGCAACAGAGTTCCTGTATGTAGTTCAGGCTGACCTCGAATTCACTACGGAGTCCAGCCTGGCCTTAAACTTGCAGTGATCCTCCTGCCTCAGTCTCCTTAATTCTGGGATGCCGAGGACCAGCTTGACGCAATGCAGAACAGGCAGTGATTGATAGTAAGCTGATATAAAAATAAACTATCGGCGCTGGGGATTTAGCTCAGTGGCATAAGCACCTGCCTTGCAAGCAGGCGGTCATGAGTTCAATCCCCGGTACCGATAAAAATGAAAAAGACAAAAAAAAAATAAATAAATAAATAAATAAATAAAAATAAACTATCTGCCCTAGGCCTGATACCTGTGTTTCTGGACAGGTGAATCCTTAGGCCCAGGACCAGCACTAAAGCCAGCAAACCGTCTGTGAAGTCCCAGTGCCTCAAAGCAAGAAAAAGAGCCAGCTTTGGACTTCAGCTCACCCAAATTCCTTCCAGCCCAGCAGTCACGGTCAGCAGACAGGCTACAATGAGTCCAGGAATTGAACTCACATCCTTGAGTTTACCAGGCGAGGGCTTGAGCTGCCAAGCTAATTCCCCGGCCCTCCTGCGTACACTTTTCCAAAACTGTGTTGTTCCTCAGTTCTTGAACCTTGACTGCATCAGCGGTTCACTCCCAGAGCTTCCTGCAGCCCTCGGGGCTCCCCTCACCTGTGCTCTGTGCCTCCTAAAGGCCAAGAACACCGAGCCTTGGGTTCTTAGCCCGTCACTGGCCTCTGACCAGCCGGTGCCTCTAAGATAAGCATCTCCTGTCTGCTCCATTCTGTTGTCACACCTCTGGCCCGGAGATCAGTGGTGACCCTTGGCCAGGACCCAGTACTGTGATGTTTATTTATTTTTGCAGTACTGAGACTTGAACCCAGAACAAGCACAAACCCTGCACGCACTCTATGGCCGAACTATTTCCCCAAGTCGTTTTTATTTTTAATTTGTATTTTGAGACAGGGTTTCACTAAGTCACCCAGGCTGGCCCATAAGCAACGTCGTGGCAGGGGTGGGCTCTGGTCTGGTGACACCAGGGCTGTGACCAAGACGCTGAGCGTGACCCACACAGGGGCCAGGGCTCGTGTGGTGTCCCCTTGCTTCCAAGCTGTCTGGGTCCCTCATTCAGACGCCAGAGTGGGGCAACGGCGGTTACCAGGTGGATCGAGCATCCTCAGCAGGCTGGGCAGGAAAGGGCCTGGCCTTGCCTGGCCACCTGGGATCCAAACCAGCCCTGCGTGCGGACAGGCACTGTTGAGAACTCTGGGAGCAATGGTGACAGCAGGCTGGAGAGGGGACAGCGCTCGGACACCCCACAGGGCGCTTGTCCAGCAGCACAGCCTGGCGCACATGCGTGCACCTGAGGCCTTGCCCCATGCCTGGATGGACCCTTGTTGGAGCCACTGAAGCTGAATCCATGTGCGGGGCTGTGGCATGGCCTAGGCATGGTTGGACTGAGCATGAGGAGACACCTTAAGGGGCAAGACAGGCCATAGCTGAGGCCACCTGGAGGCTTTCTGGATGGTTTTCCTTAGTTAGCATCCTCTGTTGCTCTGAGGGGCCTCGAACCCCTCCCAAGATCCTGCTCAGGTTTCCTGCATTTTCCATCAACTCCTTGCTTGTTCTGATTAAGTACGGGCTGCCTGGGGTCAGGTGGCCAGTGGGCTAGCAGAGTTTTAAACTCAGTAAAGGATTTTAGTCCTCCTGGAGCCCTAAAGACCATGCTGCTTGTCTCATTCCTTTGAGCTTTCGCCATGCACCAGTTTGAGGGATTGAGGATCTAGGCACAGACTCCAATAAGAGGTGCTTGGGTCTCCAGGGCTGTGCTGTCCGGAAGAACCCATCCATGGAGTAACACGGCACTAACGGGTCCTCTCAAGTCTGCGATAAAAGCCAGTGTGGCTTCCCTCTCTTAGATGCAACAGCTGGTATCTGGTTCTCTGAGCTGCCCCGGGGCTCTGTGAAGCATCCATACCAGTGAGAAGCCCTCATCCAGTGCAGCCTCGACCTCCCCAGGCCTGCCCAGCCTGCAGGAGCACAGCAGAGTGACCCGCCCTTCCTCACAAGTCCCCAGTGCATGCGTCCAGCCACAGCAGTGGAAAACCCCTTTCATTCCCCTGCTCCGGCGCAGAGCCCGCACTGCAGGAGGTCTTGCCAGGGCGCCCAGGAGGAGGTGGGCGCTGTGGAATCTCCAGTTCTCCCAAGGGTGGCTGGGGGTGGCTGCGTAAGTCCAGGTTATGGCTGCACCTTGGGACGGAACCAAGTTGGCTCGCTCTGGAAGAGTTAAGTTTTGGATCCTTCTCTTGTTTGTTTTGTTACTGGGGATCAAACTCATGACTGCACACTTGCAAAGCAGGTGCTTATGCCACTGAGTTAAATCCCCAGCCCCAGATTTTGGAATTTGACCCTAAAAATCCTCCATGGGGGTTCTGATTCCATCCACTGTGCCAGTGCTTGAGCACTTTCAGTTTGGAGAGGCTTTATGTGTCAGCATTGATGATTTTGGACAACTTTTTCAAACTTTTCCACAACTTTTTCTTTGGGCCTTCTATTGCAATTTTTAATTCTTTCCTATTTTTAATATTCAAGAAGTTTTCTGAATTTTTTTGAGACAGCCTCGCTGTGTAGCCCATGTGAGGGCATCCGCATCACTATGTAGTCCTCAAGTTCTTGATGGTCCTCCTGCCTCAGCCTCCTGAGTACTGGGATTACAGGTGTAGGTCTCCACATCTGGCTTTTGTTACCTTTTGAAGACATTAATGATCATTTCCTTAAGACAATTGTTTTCTTCTCTCTTCATAGTTTCTAAACTGGGTATGTTTTTTGTTCTCGCTCTGTGATAAGAGGCTTTCCTCAAATGCTTGGGACCTTGAGCTGCTTGCTGGTGATTAAAAAGACAAAATAAGCCTGTGGATGCCACTTCAGCTGAGCTTGCTGGGCCTTTGTTAGGAAACTTCCTGCTGTCAGTAGCTAGCATTTTCCTTTGTACTGGTGGTTCCTTGGGTCCTCCAGTCCTGGGGTCAGGATATGGCTCCAGAGGAGGGTTCGGGGCCGCTGTGTCAGAGGCAGGTCCACATCTGCTGCTGTCCTTGCCATGCCCAGCTGCAGGGTGACCATTTCCTAGGAAAAGCCCAGATATTTGCCAGAGGAGGTCAGGAAGAGGGCGGTAATCTAAGTCTCTTTTCAAATAGTGCCCTGGGTTTCAGCCTTCCTTCATCCTCAGCTCTAGAGGCAGCTGGTCCTGCCAGTTCCAAAGCTTTGGGGCTCCTGCTGTATGAATAAGCACCGGTTCTCAGCCTCCCCCTCTGCTGAGCGAGATTTCTCGGTCCAGCTCAGCCAAGTCAGGTGTTCCCTCCTGCCTCTGCACAGCTTGCCCTCTGTCCGTGTGGGACTTACATCTTCAAAAGGCTTCTTTGCTGTGGATTTATGAGTTTCCAGAGGGAGCTCTCCTCTGTGCACTCCTGAAGATCCTCTCTGTACCGTGTGTGTGTGTGTGTGTGTGTGTGTGTGTGTGTACATGTGTGTGTGTATCTTTTTGAGACAAGGTCTCACTATGCAGTTCAGGCTGGACTTGAGGTCACTACGTAGCCCAGGCTGCTCTTAAACTCGCAACAAACCTCCTGCCTCAGCCTCCCAAGTGCCAGGATTATAGGCATGCACCACAGTGCCCCGTCCCTCTGTATCTTTTATGGCTGCCATATTTCATCTAACAAACCTCTGTATAGTTGGACATGTAGTTTTCTCCACTTTTTCCTGTTAAAAGCAAGACGGTCATGGTCATCCTGAGAGCTCATCTTTGTTTTCTGGATTCTCCAGCTGAACTCAGCGAAGCAGGCTTGCTGACGTGGTTTGCGATGGACTGAATGATACACATCCCAAAAGTCCATCTGCAGGAGCCTTGCCTCCAGGGTGATGGTATTTAGAGAGGAGGCCTTTGGGAGTAGTTGAGTCATGAGAGTCCAGCCCTTGTGAATGGAACCAATGACCTTGTCAGAGAAGGAGAGGGCATGGGGACCTCTTTTTCTGCTTTCCCTCATGTGAGGTCATCTGCAAGCCAGAAGAAGACCCTCATCGGACACAGGAACTGCAAGCACCTTGATCTCTCACTTCCCGGCCTCAGGAACTGTAAGGTTTTCCTGTCACTGAGGCTCCCTGGTCTGTGGCATCCTTACAGCAGCCAGGAAACAAAGACATGGCCTGCCTTGTCATTGTGTGCCTGTGTGTCCTAGACTCCTTAGAGGAAGCTGACAGGAAATGAGGGCACGTGGCAGGGAAAGGGGACTGTTGGGGTGACAAGGTGAAGGTGAGACTCTCCCTCTAACCCAGCCCTCTAACAGCAGCTCTCAGAAGCTGGACAGCCCCACCTTCCAGTCACTCAATAATGGAAGTCTGTGTCTATAAACTAAAGATAATAATTGCACCTAGCCTTCTCAGTTTGCCCTGAGAAGTTAAATAAACTAATGCAAAAAAAAAAAAAAAAAAAAAAAGGGATATACAAGGCTTTGTTCAGTGGCACAAAGATTTATTGGGTGCTTATTTTGTGCCAGGCACTGTGTCTGGTTTGTAGGAAGCACAAAAGAGAGCTGTTATTTTGCCTCCTGTTGTTGGCAAGAAAGAACATGCAAGAGTTTCAAGTACCATGCGTAGTCTAGGGAGAAAATAAACATTTCACTTAACAGTACTGCTCAAGTTTCATCTATTTTCCTGCAAATTGACTTCATTCTTCTTTAAGGCTACATAAGCTAATACGAAAGCAACTACTGTGTATTGCAAATACCCACGTCAATTTTTACAAAGACGATTACATTGCAATTCATTGGTTAGTCCACGAATAAAGCGTCGCATCCGGTTCTTGCCCGGGAACTTTAAAGCGGTGCACAGGTCACGAGCCTCCAAAGCGCAGCCGCAGAAGTCTTGAAGCCCAGACGGAACCAATTACTGCGGAACCTTTCCTCTGGCTCCCACAAGTGCTCTGGGAAGCCCGGTAGGAAATACGTCAGGGGCTACGCTGCGTTGCGCCGCCGCGCCATCCCAGTCTGAAATCGGTCACCACGGTGACGCGCGCAGGAAGGTGTGTCACCATGAGCGCCCGGGTCACGCGTGTCGCGTGGGCCCGGAGCTGGGGTCCCCGCTGCTGTCGCGGCGCCTCGAGCTTCTCCGTGCCCCCGCCGGGCACCGTGGATGTGGCGGAGCTGCTGCGGGACGCGACCGCGGCGGAGGAGAGACCCTCGGCGGCGCCTGCGCGGCGGACGCCCGGCCAGTGCTCGGTGCTGCTGTTCCCCGGCCAGGGCAGCCAGGTGGTGGGCATGGGCCGCGGGCTGCTGCGCTTTCCGCGCGTGCGCGAGCTCTACGCCGCTGCGCACCGCGTGCTGGGCTACGACCTGCTGGAGCTGAGCCTGCAGGGGCCGCAGGAGGACCTGGACCGCACCGTCCACTGCCAGCCCGCCGTCTTCGTGGCTTCGCTGGCCGCTGTGGAGAAACTCCATCACCTGCAGCCGGCGGTGAGGCCGAGGCCCTGGGACGGCAGGGAACGTGGGCTCGGCCCGGGGACCCCGAGCCCGACGCACCGGGCAGCGTCAGACTGAGGTGTCAGGCGCTGCCGTAGGCGCCAGAGCAGAATCCAGATCCCCGCCTCTGGGGAGCTTGTGCCTATGGCAGGCAGAAAACAAACCCAGGGTGAAAATTATGTACATATTGAAGATGATAAGTCAGAGAAAGAAAGATGGGAACGGCATTGTGATTTTTAATTATCTGTATTACCTGATTTAAACAAGTCTAAACTCAATCCTAATTTAAACCCAATGCTTCTTACTGAGCCACATCCTCCAGCCCTTTGTTTATATTTATATTTTGAGGTAGGGTCTTGCTAAATTACTCAAGATGGCTTTAAAGTTTGATACCTCTGCCTCAGCTTCAGATGTTTGAGAGTGTGATTTTACTTGAAAGTGGTGAATCAGATGCTTTTAGTATCAAACAGCATCAAGGCAGTAAATGTTAGTGGGGCATGGTGGCACAGGCCTGTAATCCCAGCACCCAGGAGGCTGAGGCAGGAGGATTGCTGTGGGTTTCCCAGGCTACAAAATGAGTCGAAGACCAAACTGAACTACATAGCAAGACATTGTCTCAGAAAGACTAAAAAATAAAATGTAACTGGTTAGCTAATCCTTGAGCTCCCTCCTGTCACCTCACAGCCTCTGGGAGGTGACTGCTGCTGTGCTGTGGATAAAGAGTGCTCAGGGATAGTGTTTAACCTGGCCAGGCCTGTCCTGAGCAATTTTTAGACGCTGTTTTCATAAAATTCCCTCAGCAGGGGTGTGACCTGCTGTCCCCTCCCTTCCCAGAGGAGGGAGCAGAGGCACTCAGTGGCGCCAGGGTCACCTCGGGGTCCTCTTTCAGCCAGAGCACCAGGCCAGGGCCCCCAGCTCACAGTGACAGGTGAGTGCTCTGGCACTGAGCTCCCCCACAGCCCCTCCCTGACTCAGGTCTGTCACTGCAGGCCATTGAGAACTGTGTCGCTGCTGCTGGATTCAGCGTGGGAGAATTCGCAGCCCTCGTCTTTGCTGGAGCCATGGAGTTTTCTGAAGGTGCGAGGGGGAGATGGGCTTGTTCAGGGTGCAGCCTCTCCAGCCCTCCTGGGGTTTCTCCCCAAGGTGCTGCACACTTTGGCACCAGCCAGTTCTCTGGGGTGGAGCTGTCCTATGCACGGTAGGATGCTCTTTTGAGGAGCGTCCCATCTCTCCGTCACACACCAGACTTTCCGTGTGTCAGTCTTCAGTCCCTGCGCTGGGGCAGAATCACTCCTGAGAACGCCCTGCTCTGCACGCCTGTGTTGCACTCACCTGGCTTTTGGGCAGGAAGTGACATGATGGGGGTGACTGTGGCCCTGACAGCCTTGGGGACCTGAGTCAGTCTCGGCTGCCCTCCACAGGGCTATACGCCGTGAAGGTCCGCGCTGAGGCCATGCAGGAGGCGTCGGAAGCCGTCCCGAGCGGAATGCTGTCTGTGCTCGGCCAGCCTCAGTCCAAGTTCACTGCTGCCTGTGTGGATGCCCAGGAGCACTGCAGGTCCTTGGGCATTGAGGATCCGGTGTGCGAGGTGTCCAACTACCTCTTTCCACACTGCAGAGTCATCTCTGGACACTTGGAGGTGGGTGTGGTGGGCGAACCCCTCTCAGACCCCAACCCAGCAGGAAGGTGGGGGCAGCGCTATGCACCTCCAGAGCCCTGCAGTGCAGTTAGTGTCACCAGCAGTAGGGACACACAGGCCACCCAGTCATTCTGCTGTCAGAGGGAGGCCCATGTGCAGTGGGCACTTGGCAGGGCTGTAGCAGGGACAGCCCAACACTGGGAGCCTCTAGAGTGGGCTCCTAAAGGGTGAGTAGGAGTTTTCTAGGAGGCAGCATCATGAGCAGAGAAGTATTAGGCCCATGGGGTCCAGGTGCATGGCTCAAGACACTGAGTACAGAGGGACCGTGGAGAGGGTGAGGCGTTTGCAGGGTGTGTGCTAGCAGTACTGGAGATTGAACTCGAGGCCTGTGCTGAGTGATACCTATGTCCCCAACTCTTTTTAAATTTTGAGACAGGGTCACCAAGTTGCCCAGGCTAGGCTCAAATTTGTGATTTCCTGCCTCAGCTTCCCAAAGTGCTAGGATTGTGGGTGTGCATTGCCACAACTGGCCTGGAGGTGATTCTTTTATTTGTTTTTTGTCCTTTGAGACAGACTCTGAAGGTCAGACTGGTCCCGGTCTCCCAGCGTAGCCCAGGCTGGCTTGCAACTGAAGCAATCCTCCTGCCTCAGCCTCCTGAGGGGTAGGTGTGCACCAGCACACCCCGCCTTGAAGGCAGTTCTTATTACTGTGTCAACCCAAGGCAGCTGAGGCACGCCGGGTGCAGATCCTTGAGATGGTTGAGGCAGAATTCTTTCTTGGGGGATTAAACCTGATGGAAAGGCACAGGATGAGGTCCACACTGCTGTCCCCTGACCCCTGCTGGCGCGACCCCTCCCCCAGGCCCTGCGGTTCCTCCGGCAGAACTCCTCCAGGTACCACTTCCGGCGCACCAAAATGCTGCCAGTGAGTGGCGGCTTCCACACCCGCCTCATGCAGCCGGCCGTGGAGCCCCTGGCGCAGGCTCTGAAGACCATCGACATCAAGCAGCCGCTGGTCTCCGTGCACGCCAACGTGAGTGGGCACAGGTACGCAAACCCGCAGCACATCCGGAAGCTGCTGGGGCAGCAGCTGGTGTCCCCGGTGCGGTGGGAGCAGACCATGCACACCATCTACACGCGCAGGCGCGGCGCCGCCTTCCCCAGGACGTGGGAGGTCGGTCCTGGGCAGCAGCTGGGCAGCATCCTCCGGAGCTGTAACCTGCAGGCCTGGAAAGCCTATGACCATGTGGACGTGCTGCAGGCCAGCGAAGACCCAAGCCCTGAGGAGTCTCTGCGGTGACCCCGTGGGCCGGGGTGGGGACCTGGGCTGTGGCTCCTGCGAGGACAGAGGGAGGACTGCTTGCCCGGAACTCTGGAAACTGAGGGTCTCTGTGGTGACCCAGCCTGTCCCCTCCCCTGGGACATGGTCAGATGTGAGGGGACAAGGCCAGCTTGCTGGTCCTGGAGAGCTAGATGCACTTCGGATGGTGGACCCAGCCCCAGCCTAGCCAGGAACCCAGCTCAGAGCCCTGTCGATCCCCAAGAGGCATAAGAACCCTGTTGGGCCCTCAGCGAAGCAGGAAGATGAGTCTGGTGTCCCTAGTGCATCAGGAAGCATGTCACAGCTGGGTGCCTGTTGGGTGCACAGTCCTGGCACGGAGGCCCTGGAGTTCAGTGCAGTGTGCAGTGTGGCCAAGTTCTAGGGCAGCCCGGCCCGCCACCAGCACCAGTGCTGGACATGTGCCTCTCGGGGCTGCCTGACCTCTGCATCCGCCTCAGTGTGCTGGGAGTGTGGGAAGGGGCTCTGGCAGCTGGCAGCATTCCTGGGGCCCGGGGGCGGTCACATCCTAGGGCACCGCTCACAGGGCCCCGCCAGCCGCTAGGTCGGGGTGTTCCCCTCCACAGTAGCTGTCCCCACTGCTGGCTGCCTCACGCCTGCAGCATCCCCAGGCTCTGCGGCCCTGGCTGAGCACCAGTGCGGGTTCTAACGATGGACTTTAGCCCGGCCCCGTGAGGACTGGCTGGAGCACAGGAATTCCTTGGAAAGAACTTGTTCTGTTTCTTGAGTCTGGGTCTTATTTGTTGCCCATGCTGGTCCCGAACTCAAGGGACACACCTGCCACAGCCTCCCTGGGTAGCTTCGATTCGTGGGAGAAACTGCTGCGCACAAAGAGCTTCATGTTTTCAGTACCAGGCACTGAACCAGCATTCACCGCGCTCTAGCCCAGGCCTGTCTCACTTAGACGAGGGTCTCACTGCACCCTCCAGCTGCCCCATGCCTGCCTCCCGGAGTGCTGGCCCCGGGTGTGCACCACTGCGCCAGGCTGCAGGGAGCGTTCTCTCCATAGCCGGGATTGAACCCAGGGCTTCACCCTGCCGTACCTGCTCAGCCCCCTGTCCCCATTTTTCTGTGTTTACTGCGAGATCTCACTTAGTTGCCCAGGTTGTGCTGAAACCTGGGATCCTCCGGCCTCAGCCTCCCAGTCCGGGTCCTTTGGCTGTGCCACCCAGAATGGGGTCTCAGAGCTCCACTCAACCTTAAGGACAGAATCCCCAATAGGGGAACCATGGGGCAGTGTGGTTGGGCCTGTGTGAGGGCCCCCGTCCCTTCAGGGGACAGGGTGTCTTCTGGGGGAGGAAGCAGGAGACCCCACTTGCTGAGAGCTGCTCTGTAGTACCCCCTGCACCCTCCAGTTGCTGTCCCACCCACAGGGACAGCTTCCCTGGGTGCTTGCTTGCAGAGAAGCTGTCCCGCCTCAGCCTTGGGAATGCCACTGGCAGGGACCTGGTTCAGACGCCTTCGAGCCGAGACCGCTGTTCTGTCCACTGCCCCTCCCCGCCCGCAGAGAACCGTGGGCATCACCTCCTGTGGGCATCACCCCACTGGCCCCATGTGCCCCTGCCCCATAGACCCCAGGCTGCTGTGGTGGGCAGCGCCTGCTTCTTGGGGATTCCCTGGAGCAGTGTCCCACGTGTGACCTCAGTGGCCAAGCAGGTGCGGTGTCAGCCTGAGGGGAAAGGGGCCAAGAGGCTGCGGTGTCCTGACACTGGGAGGCCGTGGGCTGGTGGTGGGCGACACTGTGTGTGAGTCTCAGGTGGCAGCTGCCCTGTTCCTTCAGGTCAGGCCCAGTGTCTGCCCTCCCAGCGCCCACCTCAGGGGGAAGCCCAGTCCTGTCCAGGAAGACCTGGGTCCCAGAGGTCTCGGCAGGCGCCACCCCAGAGGGCCCGGCTCATCGCTCCATCCCGGAGCTGGGAGGAGCACCCTGGGCCAGCCTGGGAGGTCCTGGCAGTCCAGAGTGGTGTCCCCAAGGAAGGGGAGACAGCTGGTGAAGGGCTGAGCCTCCTCGGGCAGGGTTCAAGGGCTCGGAGGGGGGAGCCTGGGCCCTAGCTTTGGGGTTCTGGGCCCAGAGGGCTGTGAGGACCCCAGCCATGTGGGCATTTTTGGTGCCAGTGGGAAGCCAACCTGGAGCCCCAGTTCTGGGGTCCGTGATGGGGCCTCAAAAGCAACACAAGTCAGGCAGATACTGAACCCAAAGGATGGGAGCCTGGCACTCCTCCCCAGCTCCCTTTGCCCAGAGCCCTCCCCAGCTGGCCTCCAGGGCAAGTGGACACCGGGCAAGCAAGGGACACACGTGCCCATGAGGCACTACAGGGCTGAAGGAAATAGGCCCTCACTGTGGATTTGAGAGGCCAGGGAGGGGGCACACGTTGCCAGGTGCAGAGCCCCCCCCCCAGGGGCGCTGCAGCCCCACAGAGGACACGGGCCCAGTTGGAAACCAATATTTTATTGAACTCTCCACCTCCTGGGGATCTAGACCAGCAGATCCCATGTGCCGCCTCGGACATGGCTGGCACAGGGTGTGGCCAGCACGCCCCCACCACCCGCTCAACCAGCCTATGAGATGGAGGCTCCTTCCGGGACAGCCGTCCCGGAGGGCCCGGGTCAGGACAGAGCGGCCCAGCCGGCCGAGGACAGGACAGGCGGTCACCCAGTAACGGCACCGAGGTACAAAGAATTCATCCCGTAGAAAAACAGCACAAACTGTATGAAATCTCAGCAGTGTCCCAGCACTGCCCTGAGCTTAAATATAAAAAGGGCCTTCAAAAAACACTACCGTTAAAAAGGGCAGAGCTGGCCAGGCAGCGGCCACCTGGGGAAGACGGGGGTCAGGGACCAGCCCCGCCCACCCGGCCACCCTCACTGCAGCAGCAGGCGCAGGGTCCCCAGCAGCAGCAGCAGCAACAGCACAGGCAGCAGCCACCTGCAGGTCCAGCGGGGGGACACCTAGAGGGGACAGGAGGGGACAGTGAGGGCCAGAGAGGTGGGAGGACAGGGAGATGGCACGTGGGGGGGTGACAGTCGAGGCCTCGGGCTCTTACCCAGGCACGGGAGGCTGGGCGTCCACAGGCCCACACATTGTCCCTGAGGCTGGCGAGACTGAGGGTCAGCCTTCCGAGCACACCCCAGAGCCCCATCTGGCTGTAAGTGATGGCCAGGCTGTAAGGCAACCAGAGGGGTGCGCCAGTGAGCGGGATGCCAGTGCTGTGGGGGGCACAGGGCCTGTCCCCTCGGACCTCCTACTCCCACCCCACCTGCCGGGCTGACCCCAGGGTGCTGGGCCAGCTTAAGCCGGCCCATGGGACACTCAGGGGCCCGCTGTGTCTGAGGCTGTGGCTGGGGAGGCAAAGCATTGGGGGTGCCGCCTCCTGGGCCTCCCACCCACGCAGGGCCCTGAGGCTACCTGTGCACTGCCCTCCCTGGCAGCTGGGCCAGGCGGGGGCTCCGTAGGCGCAGGTCCATCTCGTCACCGATGCAGGCCAGCCGCAGGGCCACCAGGCTGCTGTGGGGAGGGGCAGGATGGCTGCTGTGCTGTGCAGGGGAATCCCAGGGTCCCCTACACAGCTGGGCTCTGAGGGGTGCTAGAGGGTGCCTGAGAGCCAGACAGAGTCCTGTCCAGGTCCTGGGCCCTCACAGCAGGGCAGGGCACCTGTCCTGGAGGGACTGCATGAACACACCCAGGCACCCACTGGTCACTAACCCCCAGGAAAGCTTGGGCGCTCTGGGTTTCCTGGGAGCCCCCTCTCCCTCACAGACTCAGCAGGGTGGGTGGACAGACAGGTTTGAGGCTGGCTCCCCACAGGGGTCACAGCTGATCCTCTCTTGTGACACCAGCTCCTACCAGGTCCCCAATCCTGAAATCACCCATCATCACTGCCCTGGAGTGGAGGCGGTCACAGGTGCACGTTGGCGTCCACTTCTAACCCAGCTGGGGGGTTGGGCACCCACCCACTGCAACGCATGGGTACAAACACAGGCCATACAAGCACTCCAGATGGCCCAGGCCTCTGTGTCCACCCTGCCAGCTGGGCACCACCCACATTCCCAGCAGGTGATGCAGCCGGGAAGTCCCAGGCTCCTGGAACTGGGGCTCAGGTGCCCTCCCAGCTCTGCCCTGCGTCCTTTCGAGGGCTCCTCATCCTGTGGCCGTGGGGCCGGGAGGGACCTGGCCCCGAGTGAGGCCCTGTGGCGGCCAGCAGAGGTGGGAAGGGCCACTTTCTGGCTCCTAAGGCCAGGCAGGAGTCTTCCCATAGCAGGTATCCAGGACCCTGGTAGCCACCACTAGAGCACAAGGGTCAGGGTACAGAGTGAGGCTGCCCACTCAGGGACCATCCCCTCCCAGGCCGCCCTGCTGCAGGAGCACCCCCCAGACCAGCATGCTGAGACCTACCTGCCTTCCACGCATTCCATGAGGTTAGTGTCCCCAGGGGGACTGAGGTCCTCTGCCCACAGTGGCTGCGTCACACCCAAAGCCCCTTCAGCCAGCAGAGGCCCAGGGGGTGGCTCAAACAGCGGGGTCTCCATCAGTGGGTCCCTGGCGACAGGTTTTGCTTCCGACATATCTCTAGAAGACAGAGATAGGGAGGGCCTCAGTGTCACCTAACCCCAGGGGACAGCTGCAACTCGGGACAGGACACTTCTGGGCAAGTGCTGTACCACTCAGCCACACCCAGCCCTCCCTGAGCCTGAGGTCTTCCCATTCATAGGCCCCTAGGTCACGTGAAACACTGATTAAATAAATGTTACAGGCTGGGCATGGTGGTGCCTGCCTATATGCCAGCAGCACTTAGGAGGCTGAGGCAGGACAACTGCTTTAGGTTCAAGGCCAGCCTGGGCTACACAGTGCAAGACCCACCTAGACTATGTATTGAGACCTTACCTCAAACAAAAATTATAGCAAGGCATGGTGGCACAGGCCTGTAATCTCAGAGGCTGTACAGACTGAGGCAGGAGGATCACAGGTTTCAAGTGCTACATGGGCAACTGAGAGAAACCTTGTCTCAGGAGGGCCTCAGTGAGCACCTGCCTGGCAAGCTCAGATCAAGATCATGAGTTTGATCCCTGTTAACTAAATGAGTAACTTTTTTGTGGGTTTTGTTTTTTGCTGGTCCTGGGGATTTAACCCAGGGCCTTCACATCAAGCACCATTTCCAGCACCACCCCCTGCTGTGTCGTTTTTTTGTCTTTCTGAGACAGGGTCTCGATATGCAGATCAGGCTGGCCCCAAGCTCACTTTGTAGCCCAGGCTGGCTTTGAACGCTCAGAGATCCTCCTGCCTCAGCCTCCCTCGTGCTGGAATTTCAGGCAGACACACCACCACGTCCAGCACCCCAGCTCTTTTTTTTTGTTTGTTTTGTTTTGCAGCAGGCTCTCATTAACATCATTAAATGATGCAAGCTAGGTTTGAACTTGTGATCTGCCTGCCTCAGTCCCCACAGGTCTGCGCCAGCATGCCCGCTTTTCTTCACAGGAGAGTGGGCTTCAGTCCTCCTTGTGGTAAGGACTGCAGTCAGGTCTTTCTGCCCCTGCAGGGCTCCCTCCCCGACACCCTGTCCTCCCCTCTAATCGGCCTGCACCACCCTCCAGGCTGTGTGTCTCAGGGCCAGTAACCAAGCCTCTCTGTTCTCTCTCTGAGGTGGGCACCTGAGCCTCAGGGCCCTCAAAGTTTCTCTTTTTGGGAGACAGCAGCCACACCAGAAAGCCCAGGTGTCTGCTGTCAGCAGGGGCACGGAGGCCACCACAGAAGTCGACAGCCAGGTTTCCATGCCTGCTATTTCTGGGGAGCAAGAAAAGCGGCTGGGCCACGTGGGGACAGCGGTGCACACTCCCAGTCCCACAGGGCTCCCTGAACACATCACACCCCCTCTCCCGAATCTGCCTCCCTGGCCCCTGCAGCACCACCCGTGTTGTTCCTCTGAGCCAGTTACGTCCCTCCTGCCCCACATTTCCCAAGAACCCCTGCAGCTCTCTGCTGGCCACGTGACCCCACCTGGAGCACAACAGCCAGGCCAGCTCATCCTCCTTGCTGCCATGAACAGAGGAGTGAGGGCTGGAGCTGCAACAGCCAGCTAAGGGCGGAGAGGTAGAGAAAGCCTGGGCTCCACCACACCGTTCAGCAGGAAGTCACTAAATTGTCCCAGCTGCCCTGAAAACCTGGGATCCTCCTGCCTCAGCCTCTTAGAGTTCTGGGACCACAATGGATTTCTCAATCCAGGAAGGTCTTACAGTTACATCTGGGTCTTTTTGTGAATTTCTCCTGTCCACCTGCATCAGAGAACTGAAAGAGCACTCTCCCCACGACGTCCCTGGACTCTTTTGTTGTTGTTTTTGATCACAGAGTCCCTGGGGCTCGAAGCCCACCACCGAGCCAACAGGGACAAAGGCTCATGTGCCCCCAGCCCAGACCACAGTGGCCCTCTGTCCACCCCTGACGGGCCACAGAAGCAGGGCCCAGGAAAAGCGAGCCAGGCTGCCGCCCTCCAAGTGACCTGGGGCTGACCCCGAGCAGGTGACTCATAACTGTACCCCCAGCTCACAGCCAGGCGACAGGCAGGTACACAGTGACATCATCCGCCACCAGGCCAAGCCTGGGTGTGGCATGGCCTGGGCTTCGAGAGGGAAACCATGGAAGGACAGCGTGGTCCTTCCTTCTAGAACTGGAGAAGGAACCCACAGGGCTCCCTCCGGTCACAGCAGAGAGACCGCTGCCTCAGCCTCCAGCAGGAAGATGGGAAGGAGGGCGGCTGTCTGGGACAGAGGCCCAACAGGGCAGGCAGGCAGAAAGCCAGACACAGACACGGACGCAGCCACCACTAAGGGCCAGGCTGGGCCCAGGTGGCCACACCTATCCGGCAACACCGCCCCCGCGGGCCCAGCTGTGGAGAGGCGGCCCCTGGGACCACCGCAGGCAGCACTGGCAGCCGCCGACCTTTAGCTCTAGCGCGGCAAGTGCGAGGTTGAGTTCGATCCCTGGTACCAAAAAAAAAAAAAAGGGGAAGCGCGAGGTGGCGCTGCACTGCGAGGACGTCCAGCCGCCCGGACAGCTCTGCCACCGACGGGCCAGACGCAGCCCGCACCCGGCTTTGGAGGCTGATGGTCCATCCCTCTCCGCACAAACTCGGCCTCCGGGGAGCCCCTGAACCAGGCAGCGGCGGCCCCTGGCCCTTGGGGCCGGTGGCTTGTTAGAAGGGAGGGGGAAGAGGAAGGGCCGCAAGAGCCACTGCGCACGGTGTCCGGCCTGTCCGCCGCCCAGCGGCCGAGGAGAGCCCTCCACACCAGGGCGGAGAGCGCAAACCAGCGCCGCCTCCCGGAATCCCAGCGACTGGGGCGCGCGGGGAGGAGGCCGCGCCAGGCCAGCCTGGGTCCCGCGGAGCAAGAGCCTGGCCCCAACCCAGCACCACAAAACCTCGCAGCGCACCTCAGCTCGGACCGCGTGCTGACCCTCCTCGAGGCTTTGCTCTGTAAGATCTCTAGAACAGATGGAGTCCCTGGCAACCCACTCGGGACCCCTCTGTCTCTCTTAGACAGGGAAGCCTGCTTTCTCTCAATACATATATTCTGCTCTTAAAAAAATATATCACAGAGAAAGAAACAGCAATCCGCAGACATCTGTTTGCAGAAGGAGGGCGTTTCGGGCCGCCAGACTCAAGATCAATAACAGAAAGCAGACTGCGATAAACGGCTCCTGGTCTGAGAGCCACCTGGCAACGGATGCATCGATCCTCGTGCAGGCAAAGCTAAGAGGCCATTAAAGGGTATCAATACCCCGATACGCAGAGCCCGGGACAGATTTCCACACCCGAGGAGCGCTACGCCGTACAGATGAGCCGCCAGCGGGAGATGTCCGTGTGTGCGCATGCGCCGAGTGGGTCCTGGTCCAGAACCGGCCAGCCCGCGGCCCGGGGCGGAGGCGTGCCTCTGCAAAGGGCCTTTTCTCTGGGAAAGCAGACTACACACCCTCAGCACTGGGCCTGTGTCCCCTGGGATGGCCCCCTTCCTGTGACCCCAAGCCTAGCCCCCTGGCCCTGTTGCAAGGGCCCCTTGGGACTTCAGCCCTGATGCTGGACACAGGGCCACAGGAGGGTGGCTGTCAGGGTCTGCAAAGGACTGGTCGCCCCGGAGTCAGTCACCCTCCTGCTGCCCTTCAGGACCCTTTTGGACCCCACAGATCCCCACCTGAGTGCCCACCCAGGACAGACACCAGCCTCACACCCTCCCCTTCCCATCTGTCCCCAGGCCTCAGTTTCCCTACCTGTGAAGTAGAGATAAACATTCCAAACTGATGAGAGCCCCATCTGGGCCCGAACCAGCACTAAATGACTGATAGAACTGGGCTGCAAGCCGAGCCGAGTGGCACACACCTGAAAGCCCCGCACTCAGAAGGCTGAGGCAGGAGGCTCCACGCAAACTAAGGCCAGTCTGGGCTACACAGCGAGTCTCTGCACTATGAAGACACTGCCTCAAACAAAACAAAGACAGAACCGGGCCGCTGCTGCGAGCACCATCACTACTGGGCAAGGATTTGGCTGCAGGTCCGGGGAACCCTGCGACCCTGTTATGACAGTAACTGCAGGCACCAGGACCAGGAGCCGCTCTGCCCAGCCTTCCCTCCTGGCCCAGCTGCAGGCCCACAGTTCAGACCTCGGGAGGGCTCCCCAGGCACCCTGCTGTCAGGTAGGGGCCGGTCCTGGCCACCCGCTGTCTGCCCCACCTCCCCCGGTCGCTAGGCGTGTTGGTTGTGACTCCCCATGCTGGCCAGGCCACCCAATCTGGGGCCCTTTTGGGCTCACACTCAAGAAGAGACGCAGACAGGGCTGGTGGCGCAGACCTGGAATCCCAGACTTCCAGGAGGCTGAGGCAGAAGGATCCCAGGTTGAAGCCTAGCACAGGCCTGCTGTACCCTGAGCTTCTTACCCTCAGCAGGCAGCCGCAGTGCTCCTGGTCCTCACCACCTTCCCAGCCCCTGAGAGTCCAGGGAGGCCTCCTGGGACAGTCACTTAACCTCTCTGTGCTTCAGGGGACCCAGTACCACCTGACTCTGTGGGAAGGAAACGATACACTAGCACTAACAGGTTTGGGTCAGAGGGCGTGGCTCCGGCTCAGGAGCTGCCGGTTATTAATAGTAGTAGTGTTTTTTCTTTGAGACATGGTCTATGTAGTCCAGGCTGGCCTCGAACAAACTACAGTCCACGCTGGTCTCAAATTTGCATTGTTCTTCCTGCCTCAGCCTCTTGAGTGCTAGGACTGCAGCTGTGCGCCATCACACCCCGCTAAGTTCTGTTATTATGAAATTTTGGCTCATAGTAAAGGGCCTGGCAGAGAGCAGAGATGTGTTTGTTGAGTGAATAAAAGAAGGCAAAGTACTGTATTCCCAGAGGACAGTGTGAGCTCATGGCAGCTACAGATCCAGGAAACTGGACTGGTTTTTAGCATCTGGGTTTGTTGTTCCCCTGAAAATTTGCAAATCAATACTTGAAAACCATTCTTCGAGGTGAGCTGACACACCTAGCCAGGTCCCACCCAGATGGCGCCCACACAAACCCTCCTACAAACTCACGGTGGAAA